ACAAAGTCACTTGATATGTGATCAAAAGTGTCTAAAAGCTTTTTTTTGTTTAATGTTCGATTCATTGTGTTATAATTAGTTTCTATTTTTTCCATCTCTTGTAATAATTCTCTATTTGCATAAAAAAAATAATAAAAACGAGTAAATAAGTAAAATATAAATAAAAATTGTATCTACCTACTTGTTTTGTATTTCAGATATATCTAAATTGAGCCTTAAATGCCATTTTTCAGCTTGTTGAAAAAATTGATACATCATTAGAAGATTAGTGCTTGTGTATGCAGATAATTCACATTTGATTTCATTTGTGATGCTTCTTTCTAAACTATTTAAAATATTCTTCACTTCTTCTTTTGTGTACGTTTCATCCAATAAACTTTAAAAATATTTTTATTTTAATAATAATAAAATATTTTATGTACTATAACACTATGATTCAATTGTAATATACTTTGTTTTAAAGATTTCCTCGAACGCTTTTTTAATTAAAATAACAGATTGTTTTTTTTGGTGATCCATAAATTCTACATAGCTTACAATGACATTTTTATGATGATCATTAACTGAAATATTTCCTTCCTAAAATATACAATAGGCAATGTAAATTATTAACTATAATGGTCTGTTGCATATTATAGGAATAAATAATGTAATAATAAAAAAAAAAATAATAATAATAATTTACCATGATTGTTTTTATAGTTATTATTTATTGTTAAATTATAAATTATAATTATTTCAATACTATTATGTATTTATTATTAAGTAAATACCAACAAATAAACTAAAATGTATGAACGTTAAGTTACAATCGATAATAAAACTAAAACGTAGCTTATGAATTGTTATGACATTGGTAACTAAGCAGTAGTTAATAATGTAAAATAAAATAATTATTGAGGAGTCGTACGAACCGCAGCGATAGCTAGCGGTGAAAAAGCGTTATATTAAGTGCAATGCATAAGTATTTCAATTTCCAGTCGAGCCTGGAACAATTATTAATGCTCTAATTCTTGGACAGTATCTTTTTTTTTTTTTTTTTTTTTTAACACATTGATGTTTTAATTTTAAATTAAAAACTGTATAAATAAAATCAAATTGTATGTGCACACATTATTAATATGCTAATTTCTAGATATATATTTTTGAAGTTAAAAATAAAATGATATAAATATAATAATGCATAAAAATAAGAAAACACAATATCCAAAATTTAAAAAACTTGATTTAATGAACAAATAAAATATTGTATACACAAATATTACATTATATAAACTTAATTATGTAATAGTTTTAATTAAAGAATTATAAATTAATTCTCCTATTTGCCATACTTTTGAATTCGTCAATGATCATGGCAATTTTAATACTAGATGTTAGTATTGCTTCAGCAAATATTAATAATAAACAATTAAGTTGGTCTTAGTGTATACAGTTCTCCTTATTTTATATTTTAGTATTGTTAATTGTAAACTTGTATTGTTAACTTGTAAATGGTATTACACTGAATAATTTTAGTAGGTACAATGAAAAATCCATTAAATTATTTTTTATGATTATTTGCTTTTATATAATCTAGCCACGAACGTATTGTTGGTTCATTATTAGTATTAGTATCTGGTTAAAATTGTATTATGCCCCAAAAAAGATTCTGGTAGAGCAGGGACTCGACTAGCTCGCCCCGTGCGCACGCCTATGAACGTATACTATATTATACAGTAATTTATATTGTTTTAAATTATTATATTTACATATTATAATTCGTGGTCGAGTTTTATAATAATAAATGTTCATCATGGTCAAATCAATACGTTTATTCCACAAAATATATGTTTTAAATTAAATTTGTTTGAATTAAATCTTGAAGAAATATTTGTTCTAACGGCCAATTGTTCCATAATCTATGTGACCATGTATACCAGTATAGCACCATGTGGTCAACATAGATACTTACCTACTTAATTCTAGAACCGTATTTTCAAATTCTTTACATTTTTACATTATGATGATACAAACTACTACTATAAAAATGAAAACCCTAATTTTTTCTTGTAAATTATTAATTGGGTTATTAGTGTTTAGTAATAGAAATATTAATGTACCTTGTTCAAAATTCGAACGAGTAATTTCTCGGTTAATCATATGTCTATATTATAGATAATAAAGATAATATTTCTTAAAAATTGTTTTACAAAAATAAACAATAGATTAATATTAAATCTAGTATTTATTATACTTCAACCTTTTTTTTTAATTATAAATGTTGATAGATTATGATTTAAATTGCTAAAATTTTTAAATTTCCATAGTCCCATACCTTCTAAAATCAAGGTTAGATTAAATTATTTTTTTGACATATGCTAAACTGTTATTTAGCTGTTGAAAACGAATCACCGAAAAAATATCACTAGTAAAATATCACAACTGAATTATCGCGAAACCAATATATCGCATGGAATAAATATCACCAGCACACATATTGCCAGTATGAAACATAGCAGTAATTTAGTTAGAAATAAATAATTTTGATTATTGATTGATATTTTATAATAGTTATAAATAATTGTATACAATTCAAGTTTTAAAGCTATATATTATAGTAGAATTGATAAAAATATGTAAAATTTAATAAAATTAATATAAGTATTAAAAAAAAATTTAAAAGAATAAATAATAAAATATGAATATTAATTAATGGAAGTTTATATTAAAGAAATACCTTGAAGATGATCTTCAAACTCTCGGTTATGATAATCTACTACTACTTTCTTTACTCATTCAGCCCAACTTACTGTCTTGTTCTTTTAAATTATTGGTGGATTTGGATTTAACAGATGCGATAATAATTTTCAGAGGTATTATTACTTTACGATATATTGGTTTTGTAATATTTATGTTATGATATTTTAGTCACGCGATATTTTACTGGCGATATTTTGTCGGGGTATTATCGTTGAAAACTATCAAAACTGAGGGAAAAGATTACAAAAAAAGATAGTTTCTCAGGTTAACTTAAAATAATTATTAATATAAAAATGAATCTATTTTTCATTTACATTACTAAATTGAAATACTCTAAGAATTTTTACAAAACATTTGAAGTTTCAGATATATTTAGTAATAGGTATCTATACAAAATAAAATGAAATTACAATACGAATTTATAAATATTTATAACGAGATAGAGTAGATACTACTTAAATAAACATAAAATGTTAAATTATAAACCTATTTCCAATAAAATAAATTAAATTAAAACCTAATATCAGTTATTACATAAGTTATTCTTTATCCAATAGCGAGTGAGTTATATGAAATAAGTAATAACTAATAACTATTAACTATAATAACTTACATTGCTGCAAATTAACAAATAATAATAATAGAAACAGCCAGTAGGTACTATGATTCGTATAAAATATCTAACTAAAATTATCCTTTTTAATCTTAGATATGATTTAAAAATTTTAAATACAGGTATTTGCTATATTTCAATTTTTTACTAATTCTTTATTGTCATTTTTCCTAAAAAAAGGAAGAAAACAATAAACAGGGACTTTATATTATGATTTTTATTAATTTTAATATTAAAAAGAAAAAGGCAGATCATAATGTTAACCGCTTTTCTAAACAATAAATTTTCAAATGAGTCACTGTAATATATGTGTTAAATTTAAATTTAACGATTTATTATTTTATAATGTATACAAAAAAATATTTTGAACAAAGACTATCTGTCAGCCCATACCATATTTTGGTATATTTTGTGATATTGCTATTTTAGTTATTTATTAAATTCTGAACAGAGCAATGAATGTATTGATTTTACTATAATTTGCATGTTTTTTTTTCTGTTAATCGTCGCCTTTTTAGACAGTAAAAATGCTTCGATTTTAAATTTTGAGAGTAGTTTCTAGTAGTAAATTGAATCTAGTTGGTACTTTGGGGAAATTAAAATTAAAAAATTCCCAGTATCTTTAAAAATACCGGGAAAAAACCAGAAAAAAAACTAAAGAAAAAGTATAGATAAATATTAAAAAAAATTGAGAATGTACAAGAGAAATAACAAGCAAAATACTTAAAAAAGTATGTTAAGTATTAATATTATAAAGTGTTTATCGGCGTGTAGTATAGGCAAAATAGGTACATTATTGCAGTGTTCATATATTTGTTCATAAATAATAACTATTATATTTTAGCACATCACAACTCATAAACTCTTCATTTTTAACTGTAAAATATCCAAAAAAACAATATAGTCACAGTATTATTTTAAATTCAGAATTTTGATTAAATCTGTAAATATTTTGAAGAAAAAAAAATTGATTTTTTATGACTAAAATTTAGAAAATACAAATTTGATTTCTTTACCGTGGTTTTATTTACTGTGGTATTTTTTTCGTGATTCCCCGTTTCTTCCGATTCATCGATAAAATATATTTCATTTATTTGTGATATTTAATAGTTGTAGGCCATAATATTATATACCTAAGTTTATTATTATGTAAATTATCCGGAGAATGGCGCGATGCTACGTCACGGCTGCATATCAGTGTATCACATAAAAATATCATATCATACCATATTGATAGGTACTTTATCATAGTACCAATTGAGTATTTGAGTAAGTAGTATAGTCTCATGGAGTATAAATATCTATTTATATTTAAATTATGGAGGTTTAAAAATGTATATTATATTTATAATTTAATGATTTTAATGTTCACGCGATCTTCTATTCTGCGCCTATTCTTCAGATATTAATACCACGAACTAAGATATATATATATATATTATATTATATATTCTTATAGTACGTGATTAATGCCATAAAGCAGTGTGTCCATAAAACCAGCGTAGGTTTAGACAGATACTCCGTTTCTGATGCATTGTTTAACCTGTGATATGTATAATTCTTTCCATGGGTTGGTAACGATAAAATTTCACCAAAAGCACTGAATCGGCGAATTCGTGTTTGGTTGCGAGTTGCGATACGTATACGGTTTTACCAAAATTTCTCCCGTTTGTTATGTTTAATACTAAGGACTGTTACAACGGAACATTGGCTGAATACGCATCACGGTTCTTTATTCTCACATCGATCGTAGTCTACATTGTTCCTTTCTGACAAACGCATCACACCCAAACCCAAGGTTATTTGCTAAAAGTGGATAAAAGCTTAAGGGATACACGTGACCATGGAGTGGGGTGAGTGACATTAATATAATATATAAATTTAAAGTTATAATTAAATGTTTATGTAAGTATTTTTAACGGATCCGTACTAAGTTGCTTTCCTTAAATTTTTCCCTTTTCAGACGCTGATAATTTTGAACCCGCTAAACCTATCGTTCCCGTTGTCGACATTGTTGGCGGTGCTAAACTCAACAAATGGGAAGGTGAAGATGAAGAAGAAAATATAAAGGTATCACAATGTGCACTTCACTTAATTAAACTGATTTGTAATAATGTTTTGTATCAATGTCTCTAACACAGTTTTGTTTGTTAAAAAACATTTTGTACATAGTGTATATTTGAAACTGATGCATTTATGTAGAGTAGCGCACAAAAATATAGCAAATACTTTTATTAAAGATCAATTTACTACTGTATTATGTCAATATATTTATAACTATACCTGTTTAGGGGTTTAAATTGATGATACTATTTAGCACACAAGCCCCTTTTTCTTTTACTTTTTAATGCATATCTATTGCATATTTGGCCTTGAATCATTAAGTAATTTCTGATCAATATATGTATGTGTAAAAATTAAAATTAATTGTTTTAACATTTTCTAGATATTTTGTGTTATGTATTGCCACTATTAGATTGTAAAAAACACTTATATTTTTGAAGAAGAATTCAAAATAAATAGGTGAAATATATAAAACTTATAGTTTAGTAATTTTAAATATATAGTAACAATAATTTGAATAATTTTTTTCATTTATTACTAGATTTATACAATTTATTTTTATTTGTGTTATCTATTCAAAATTTATTTACAATTTAATACCTATTTAAAAAAATGTATTTTATGGAACTAAAGTGCTGGAAAAAATAATAATATTTTCTCTTCATAAAGTAAGGATTTAAAACAGATTGAAGTTTGTCAATATCAATGTTGGTGCCTACTTGTGTGTAATATCTTGATATTTTTGAAAAAAAAAAAGAAGTTTATTTTCTTTTAGCAAAATTTGTGTTAGAAATGTATGTACTATAAGTTATTAATTATACATATATATATAGTGAATAGGTAAAAAAAACTATATTAAAGTCGATGTCTTGGCAACTAAGATTATATTTCTTGTAGATACCAATTAAAAATAGTTATTTTATGACTAAATCTTGTATTTTTTGTATTGAATGACATTGAATTGACAATAATAGGCAATGAATAAATTATTGTTGATAAAAATCATAAAAACATATCCAATTTTCTCATTATTTTTAAATATACATCTTTTATAGGATATTTATTATCCTTATGCACTAAATAGTTATTTTTAGGTATAACAATTTACCTTTATTTTATATTATTTTAGGATAGCTGGGATGCAGATGAAGAAGAAACAAAAAAAATCGAGACAAAAGTCCCTGAAAAAAAAACAAAATCAAAATTGGAACAAAAAATAGCTGAAAGAGAAGTACTTAAACATTTTATTTTTAACTTTAGTAATATTACTAAATAATCAGAAAAATTGATTTGTATACATTAAGAGAATGTCAGCGTCACTGTTATCTCTCTATAGGTTTTAGTTTTATTTACCTAAATTTTGTAAAGTTACAATAAATTAATGAAAAAATTTTAATTTTTTTTTTTTATTATTTTTAATTTTACTAATAATAAATTTTTGACTTCTTAAATGATTTTTTGGGTATTTATCTATCTATCACTTTGTGAATATTTCTTTTGATAGCCTTGAACAGTCAAGAAAATATAATGATATTTTTAACTTTGATTTAAGTTAATTATAGTTCAATTAATTACCTGTAATACTAATTGTTTTTGTTCTTTGCTTTTAGTAAATTTGTGATTGTATTCTTCTATAAGCTTGACTCTACTCTCAGCTGTGGATCAATAGTCAAAAACTTTGTAGAAATATTATATATCTTGAACATTCCTATTAATTTAGAGTTTATTAAATCAATTAGGAAGTATAATTCATATCTGATGTACTGTAGAATCTTGTATTTTAATCAATCTAAACTTAGTCTGAGTAGTTAGAAAATTTTGTTGTCTAACAGAAATAACATTTTAAAAAAAGGTGAAAATCAATTATTCTCTTTATATTTATAGCAAATTACTAAAATTCATAATTTATGTTTAAATATAAAAATGTTACTTTTAAATTGTTATAAAATTTGTGTGACATGGTACAAAAAATAAATATTAAAAGCATAGCGTTAAATACCTTACTAAACCTTTATATTTATTTTTAGCGAAAACAAAAAATAGAAAATGAAAAAATGAGACGTAAATTTTTGGAGGCAGAAGAAAATTCAAATATGACACCAGAAGAAAAGAAATTATTACAACAGAAATTACAAGAAGAAGCTGACTTGGAAGTAGCCAAAGAAATGTTAGGTGTAGATGAAAGTGATGAAGATTCAATAGATCGCATGAATCCAAAATCAAAAGAAGATTTCATTGTTTTTGAGCAAGCTCTTCAGAAAAAAATACAAAGTTTTTCTAAATCTGATCATTATTCTGATTTTATTGAAGAACTTATTAGAAATTTATCTGTTACATGTAAGTATTATAAATCAAGTATACTAATTTAATATATCAACATTAACATATTAAAAATACAAATTATATTGTTTTAGTGTCAATGAATGACTTGAGAAAATTAAAGGCCAGTGTAGATAATATGAGTATAGAAAAAATGAAAGCAGAAAAAGTTGATAAAAATAAAAAAAATAAAGGCAAAGGAAAAGCTAAACTTCGACTTGACAACAGTACTGTAAGTGTTTATATTTTTAAAAATAATATTTATAAACAGAGTTTAACCTTACATTTTTTATCAAACTAAGTTATAACTACTTTGATAATGATGATTGGGCAGAAATGAGGAAGTTTTGCATTCAAATTAAACATTAATGTGTAAATATTAAATTGTTAATTCTTGTGGTATCTCTAGACCTGATATTATATGTGTTAAAAAAAAAACCTGTAAGTAAAATACAAACCTGAATTTCTTGTATATTTGAACTCCTACATTATTACATTTGATAGTACTCATTTCTTATCAATGTGAAAGTGTTGATAATTTATATTTAAAATGGATTCACTCTTTCTCTTAACCTATCTGTAAACATTAAATTTACCCTTGACACATAATTCAATAATAAACTTCATTCTCAATCATATTTATATCCAAAATCAAACCTGGGCTTCTCAAAAAATAAAAAATGTATTTCCCCTTTAAATCCATATGATCAAACAAATACTTATCATTTTTTTTAAACGACTCCTCTCTGTTAACCATCTGGGCAGATAATTTATGTCTTAAATGTTTTTCTATATTAATCACTATAACATTTAATTGTAATCTGAGTCATTTCGTTTTAAAAAATAGTGTTTAGTATAACACTATTACCTCACCATTAATTTAATTGATTTATGATCTTAGCATTCTTAGCTTTATTTTAACACTATTATTTCTAACGGGTACATTTAATTGTTTTCTGTTAATTACTTAAGCTATCTAACTTACTGTTAGACTTTATAAAACAAGTTTCAAGTAATTTAAAACTGTCTTCTACCCTAAAAATTCTTATTTATTAAGCACCCACACTTCAAAAAGGTAAATCTCAAGTATGTTTCTATTCTATTAAATCTTACTTTTGCCTTCTACTGTTGTCAAATTTAACATGTTCGACATAAGTTTTTAAAGTTTAATAGCTATATATTACAAATAAATTCCCAACTTCGTTATTATTCTGCGACATTATATAATTTTGTTTAAACTTCTTGGCTGATCGCAGACCAGTATAAATTTCCTCAATGACCTAACTTATTCCCCCATTACAATTATCTAGGTCTTTTATTCATTACGAAGATAATGATCTTTTTTGTTATAAGTCAGTTTAGATTAACTCCTTCTGAAATCTGAGAATTTGTTGTTTATTACATGAAATTCTTATTTAAATTAATAATTTATATATTAATTTATTTTATTACTTCATATTGTTTTTGAGTGCCAATCTATAAGTTTTTATTTACTTATTTGTAGGTATTGTTAATAAAACTTGATTAATTGTATTCACTCGCTAGTATGGTACTCCTGCTATATGATAATAGAGCACAATTAAATAATTATTATAAGTGTAATTTGTTTTTTTAAATAATCAATAGATTATAAACTTAAATATATCAGATCATAATATTTAATAAACAATAGCTATTTAACAAAATTATTTTATTATGTTCCAGATACCTGATTACAATGAGTTTTCAGCTTATACGGTGGATGATTATGATGAGTTCATGTAGGAAAAGCGTTCAAGCTTACAAGACCTATGCTGATGAAAAAATAAGCAGTATATATTAAAATATAAATATATCTATTACTTATGTAACTAAAGAGTGGATATAGCTGAATGATTATTTTTTTTTGATGGTTCATGTTTATCTTTATTTATTACATTGAAATATACAATCTCATGTTGAAAAAGAATACACTCTTTTTTTTTTCTTTAATTATTCTAGGAAAAAAATGCTAAGTATAATTATTGATTAACGTTCCAACATAATCTCTACCTCCTTGATTTCAGATAATTAATTGTATAACCTTGACTATCACTCATGTATGTTGTACACTTTATTATGTTAAGTTTTTTGTGTGCAGTTTGAAGTGTTACATTAAACTACTCTCACTATTCATTTGATACCTAGCAGTTTATACATTCTTTTAATATAATTGTAAATAGTTTGTTTAAAATAGTACACACAACTGTAAGTATGAATTTGTACGAAGTGTATGTAAATGCAGTATCTTTTTCTGCGGGTTGTGCATCCACTGCAATGATGTTAACACCCATGTAAGTAATGTTTAATATTGATAACAAAACATTATATGCTAATCAGCTTAATTTTTTATTATCATTCAATTATTACTATAATAACTAATAATATAGTTGGAATACAAAAGTTTTGCTCTCTAATACAAAATTAGTAGTATTATTACTTTGTTACTTTCATAAGTTATGATACCCAAAAGGATAACTCAATCATTTTGAAATGTAACCTTTTATCAAAAATTTAAAAATAAATAAAAATATTTTATTTAAATACTGGCATTATAAATTTAAAGAGTTAATGTTAAAACTTAAGGACTTCTTGGTATATTTTTTTCTAGAGGTTATAAAATATTCTAGACATGATATAATTTACTTTGTGTTAATTAAATGCCAAATTTAACTTATTTTTACATATTTAGTTATATTTTAGTATTTTACAAAAAAAATAGCACAGTTGAAGAATGCTTAGAGATTAATGATTACTATAGAATTAGCATTATTATTATCAATAATATTAATTTGCTAATATCTATTTATTTTTTTATGAGCTCTTGTAAATGACTATATATTATAAATTTCCATTATAATACATAAGTAGGTGCAAGATTGTAAATTCAAATTACATGTTTGTTACCACCTTCTATTCAATCCATTAAGAAATAAAACGTTTATATCAATTTTGGCAATACAATATCACTCGAATTCCGTTGACATATTCAATGAAAATCTTTTATGTATTTAGTCGAATTAGGTACCTCATAACATAATCATAAATTTTGAAATGAAGATTGATCAAAAAACTCGGTAGAAAAGAAAAAAGTATATTGAAAATTGTCTTGTAATAATATAGCTCTGTAGCTATTAGCTAGTAAACAAAATTGTAATCTACTTTATATTGGATATCTGTTGGCGAAGGTTAAAGTTAAAGTTAAGCGTAGTAATAGTTACATTGCATGAAGATATCTTTTGTGTAGGATATCGCTGGATTTGAGTTGGGAGAGAGTGTCGCTTTCGCATTACCTACAGACCACAAAGTGGTCGTTGACTAAAACAATTAGTAACAAATATAAATAGGTGCTGAATTGTATTTTATTATTGTTACAGTTAGGAGAAGTATACTTATGGTATTTAAAAGTTCTTAAACTCGAGTTGTTTAGTTAGTTACAAACTTGCAGAAATCGGAACTTGTCTCGGGTCATTTAGCGAAATGCCTTAATTTAACATTAACAAACGTTAGTCATGATTTTTAGAGTAATTTAAAAATGTATTAAGTACCTACCTATGCAAAATGTATCTCAGTAGTATCTACCTATAGTATATTAATTATTTATGATTTATTATAAATATATTATATTATATAAAACGCACCCATCTAGTTATCTCTGCAGGTAACGACACGAAATAAAATCAATTTTTTTTTTTTTTTTTTATGTCAAACATTAATAGTACCTCACAAAAATTCATATTAGTTATTCTAAATCTGTTGCGACACAAATTCGATTTATAAATCTAAAAATGTGTGTTGCATATTTTACTTTATTTTGTCTAAATTTTAAGTAAATACCTATGTAGGCACCTACCTAATTGTACTTATCTACTAGTCATTAATCATTATTGCCGTAATTTTGTATAAATTATATTAATATTATCATTATTAATTATATCTATTTTATATTTTTATGAGTGGTTTATCAATATTGTTATATATACTATATTGTTATGTAATGTTTAAATCTCAATATAGTTTTATGATTTATTATGATTTTCGTAATTCATTGCTTAAATCACAAACCATAGATATTTTTTTCTTTAATAGATTTTTACAATATATTAGTAATAACTTATAACAATAAATACATTTGTACATTATAGAAAAGAGAAACATGTCTTTTAGAGGAATCGGTTTACAACACCACATCAGAATTTTACTTTTTATTTTATTATGATGCTACTTAATTAAAATGTAGTATTGTTCTAGGCTAGACCAGTTCATTTTTCGTTTTAGACGACGTCGAATAATACCGGCGAGGGATACAGAGGAAATATTTTTGATGAGGGAAATTGGATAGCTTAATAATTCAAGGTGGAATCTTTTATAGCGAGTCTTATAAAATTCAGTGACTATGAGTACGAGTACCTACTACCGATATGAAGTGATGAATTCGTAACAAACTAGTTAAAAGTTTAAGACTAAAAGTAGATGGATGTTTAATAAAAGCTTAGAAAGCCCACAAATTCATATACCATAGGGCCAATCTGATCTTATCATAAATTTTTAGACATAAATATACTTGGTTAATTTTGAATTGTTTACTTTGAAAATGCAGGTTAGTGTGCAAAGATATTATGAAGAAAAAGACGTCAGATCATGTCAACTTATCTACATTTGTCGGTGCACTATTTAGGTAAGCTTTCTTGGTTAATGTTGAGTTGCAGAGGTCATAACTAATAGTTTTTTAATTTTCAGGAGTTCACTATTTTGTCGTCAAGGTTTCATTCTAAATTTACCAACAGTGATGTTTGTTCATGGAATGGGATTATTAATTAATACATTTTACTTATTGTTTTATTGGTATTACTCAAATAAAAGAGTAACTATTTTCATTTCAGAACATTTTACATGGATAATAATTTTAAAACACATTTTGTATACTTGCAGAGAGATGTCATCACTACAGTATTTAAGACCACATTAATGAGTGCAGTTTTACTGTCATACTCATTTATAGAATCAACAGATTTAGTTATAACACGCTTCCCAATTATAGTATCTATAATACACTTGTCACTCATGGGTTGGCCATTATTATCTATTGTAAGTAAGACATTACTTGTCTAAGGAGAAAGATATTTGTAGAATTCAATGAAAAATTTAAATATAATAAACTACTAAAAATGTTTTTCTTACAAATGCTATTGGTTTTTTTTAGAGACAAACTATGAGAACAAAAATATGGTCTGGACATCCAAAGCCAATCTTGATAAATAGTATTGTTCTTTGTATTCTATGGCTTCTCTACAGTATCAACATACAAAATCCTATCATTTTTGTGAGTAAAAAGTTATTTATTTTATTTTTATAAAATCGATTGTACGATTAACTTTTTTAATTGTTTCAGACTCAATGTTCAGTAGCACTTATAATGAGTTCAACACAATTAGGATTATGGACATTATATCCAGCAGAAAAAATTCAACACAATAAAATTGAAAAACATGAATGATTACTGTTGTTATAGTTATACAATTTTTGTTATAATTTTGATAAATATTTCATAAAATAAAAAATAAATATCATTTAAACAATGTTTACTATAAATGACTCCGTAATTTTGTCCAACACATGTTATAAATAAAACAGTTGTTGATAGACAAAAAAAAAAATTTATTACTAATTATAATTATTGTGGAAATCCAGTTCTTTGAATGTAGTTCACAATTTATATAAAAGGGTAAAGTAAATACAAATTGAATGGCTATGGTACTATGAACAACAGTAGGCTTAACGATGATAACCCTTTTATAAAAAGAGCTGGAAACATTCTGAGAACTAACGTGTTTTCTTATCAATCATATAAAAATACTTAAGCATTGAATGAAGCTAAGAAATTAGTAACAACAGATTTCAATTTTGCATCAGTTTCATCTGTAATTTTTCCTTCTTTTGCAATGCTTTCTAATAATGATTTTTCAGAGGTTCTAAAAATATAAAATATAAGGTTAATAATACAATGTATTGTTAATAAAAATTATAAAAAATATTACTTGATGTGCTGTAAGAATTCTTTTTCAAAAGTAGTAATTTTGGATGGTTCCATTTTATCAAGGAATCCTCGTACACCGCAGTACACAACAGCAACTTGTTCTTCAATGGCCATTGGTACTAAGATTCAAATATAAAATTTTTATCACCAATGAGTACAAAAAGTATTTAAATATACATTTTAGAATTTAATAAGTTATTACTCTAAAATACAACCACCTTTGCTAAATTACAAGATAACTTATCTTTAAAAGTTTTAACGGATACTATAAATCTTATTTTCTTACCATATTGTCCTTGTTTCAACAATTCAGTAAGACGAACACCACGGTTCAAAAGTTGTTGAGTAGCTGCATCTAAATCAGAACCAAATTGAGCAAAAGCTGCAACTTCACGATACTGAGCTAATTCCAGTTTCATGGAACCAGCTACCTATAATTACAATCCCACAGGTTATTTATGATTTATTATTGAAGAAAAATGAATTAAAATTTTATCTATTACTTACTTGTTTCATGGCCTTAGTTTGGGCAGCAGAACCGACACGAGATACAGACAAACCTACATTAATAGCTGGACGGACACCTTTGTAAAACAATTCAGTTTCCAAGAAAATCTGTCCATCAGTGATGGAAATTACATTAGTGGGAATGTATGCAGACACATCGCCAGCTTGAGTTTCAATTACGGGCAATGCAGTCAAAGATCCACCACCCAAAGTTTCGCTCATCTTAGCTGCTCGTTCCAATAGACGAGAGTGGAGGTAGAACACATCACCAGGATAGGCCTCACGACCAGGTGGACGTCTCAACAACAAGGACATCTATTAAATGATTGTAATAAAATGTGAATAAATATAATACATGGATTTCATTAATTATAACAAAATGTTTATATACTTGACGGTAAGCAACAGCTTGTTTAGATAAATCGTCATAGATGATTAAAGCGTGTTTGCCATTATCTCTGAAAAATTCACCCATGGCACATCCAGAATATGGAGCAAGATATTGCAGGGGAGCGGCATCAGAAGCTGTAGCTGATACAATGATGGTATATTTGATTGCACCTATAAAATAAATATATTTATTAAATTTTAAATTTTAAACTTTACTAAAAAGTAATAACTATTCCTTATTAACATTTTTACTAACCAGTGTCTGTCAATCTTTTTACAATTTGGGCAACAGTTGATCTCTTTTGTCCAATGGCAACATAAATACAGTACAGTTTCTTTTTTTCATCTTGTGCATCATTAAATCTCTTTTGGTTGATAATAGTGTCAATAGCCAAAGCAGTTTTACTAAATAATATATTATTTAATTAAATAAATTATAAAACTTTTCATTTTAAAATTAAAGAGAAGTTACTACTACTAACCCAGTTTGTCTGTCTCCAATGATCAATTCTCGCTGACCACGACCAATGGGTACAAGTGAGTCAACAGCCTTAATACCAGTCTGCATAGGTTCTCGTACAGACACACGAGGAATGATACCTGGGGCCTTGATACCCACACGGTACCTAAGTTTAGATGTCAATGGTCCTTTACCATCAATAGTATTACCTAAGGCATCAACCACACGTCCAAGAAGGTCTTCACCAACTGGTACATCCACAATAGCACCAGTACGTTTAACAACATCACCTTCTTTGATTAACTTGTCATTACCAAATACTACAACTCCCACATTGTCAGGTTCCAAGTTAAGAGCCATACCCTAATAAAGAAAGAAATTTTACTAATTTAAATAATTACTCACAAAATATAAACATTTTAAACTTAGTTTAAAACAGTGATACTTTTTTAAATTATCTATATTAGGTAGGCCATTTTTAAATTATATACTAAATTAAGTAAAATCAAGCTTATAAAGGTTTTTCTACAATTTTTAAAATAAATATTGAAAATTATAATAAAATAAAATCAAACCTTCAATCCAGAGGAAAATTCCACCATCTCTTCTGCTTGCACATTTTTTAATCCATAAACACGAGCAATACCATCACCAATACTTAAAACACGGCCAGTTTCTTCTAAGTCAGCCTAGATTAATTATATTATAATATTAACTTAAATTTTCAATTCTTATCTTTAATGCACAACATACTTTGGGTGGAGCTCCCAAAATTCTTTCTTCCAAAATAGAAGAAATTTCTGCAGCTCGTGCACTGCATGTTATATGTAATGACCGACTGATAAGTTTTGATGTGGTCCATGAAGCCTTGCTTATCTTTACATACAATATAAAAATTGAAATCCAATTAATTTACAATTAAATAATAACCAAGACTAAACATTATTTAAATAAAAAAAAAAAAAAACAAATTTTTAAATAAGCAGATACTTCATAGTTTTGAATAGCATTTACTCTTAATCATATATTTTTATGTTTAACAATACCGAAATGAAGTATAGAAGTTTTTAACAGTAAAGCTCACATACTTAGATTTAATTCTATAATGTTTTGTAATAATAACATAAAGTTATACCTATTTGAATTGCAAACTTAAAAATATAAAAAAAATTATAGACATTTCAATTACAATCAAAGGTCATAAGAAGGTTATATAGATGTAAGTATTAATTGTAAGTGCAAAATTACAATTACAAAAATAATATTATTAGTAACTAAGACGTTTAAATGTATAATATTAATTTATTAACACCAAGAAGTAAAATTGATTTAAAATAATATCGACGAAAATTAAGAATTATACCAGATAGCCGACCGGGCGGCATCGCAGGTTACATTTTTGACAAACTCGTTTAACAATATTAACGAAAATTGTAAATTAATAAACTTTACCTGGGGCAATGTGTTGTTTAATTGTTTTCCAATTTTTGTGGCCAAACGGAGCGATAGGTTAGCCATTTTGATGGTATTTTAATGTGAACGTGTGTAAGTGTAACTAACTGGGTGTATTTTCTAGCACGAACAGGATGGCGATGAAAAAAGAAAATGGATGGCCGTAAGTCGTTTGCCCCCTGTTACGCAGACGGCCAATCTATGTGAAATCAATCTGTAAAACATATGACTTGTAGTGTGACCAACATAGATAAACGAAAATTCTTCCAAAGTAATTTTAGTAAGCATTAGAGCGCCAAATAATTTGACGTGTTGTCTCAAAAATAGTGCTATTAAAATTTAAAACTTAAAATAATGTAGTCACATAGCACGTTTAATTAAAATATTTAAATCACATAAATAATTTTAGTAGCTGATGAAAACAAAGATATAGAAGTCTCATATTCCATAAATCTATTTTATGATAATTAATTAAATTTAGAGACACCTGTTAAAAAAAAGTTAATACCATAACCTTACCTTCTAAATATAATATAAATTATTTATTTCAAAATTTGTACTATTTAAATGTACTTGAAAATAAATCAGCAATCAGCAAAAAAATGATAATAAAAAATAGAACTAGGAAAATTAATAACTAGTAGTAACTTAACAAGTGCATAGGTGTCTATTCTTCGGAGTTCGGATAGACCTTAAGGGTAAGTATTAAAAGCAGTTGCTTTAGCTTATACCTGGCACAGATCTGGTTGTAAAATTCGAGGTCTCATAACCTCTCGTAACTTTGCCACTTACAAATTAAAATAAGACGAGCTGACGATTAGTCGCTCCTTACGACTACCGGCTACGGTCGTAATTATACATCCGGATTATTGACGGATTATAAATAAATAATTTCTAATTATAGACTTATTATATTACCGTGATAAATTTTAAGCACAAAATAATGATTTGGAAACGAAGTTCGAGCGAAACGTTTTCATTTGGACCATCGTTCTTAACTATAGTTTAAAATACGAAACTTTCAAACGAAAAAGTGGGTAGGTATAATACTATTTTACTGTAAATTTGGTGTCGAGTGGATCATTGTTATGAGTGTAATGTGTATTAAATAATTCTGAGTGGAGACGGTCTGTCAGCCTATAAAACTAAGTATAATTAAATTACAATTACCTACATATGTATGTTTAAAATAGCTATTAAACTGGACACTAATTAACTATTGTAGTACAACAAAGCATTACCTTGTCCGCTTTTCAATATTTATTTATATAAACTATTATATAATAAATGGTACATTATTTGATATTTTGATCTGATATTAAATGTCTTCATGTAGCCTGTTCCTATAGGTAGTAGGTACCTATACAGATTATTTATTTATTTAAGTATTTAACACAGGAGAACATATTAAAAATTACAACTGCATTAACGACATAGCCCATTGATGCAACTAGATCTATATTTAGAGTATGCTGAACAACCAAAAAATAGGAGTAGGAAAATTATATCCACGATAATTTGTGTAGGTACTTATATCATGAAAACGATAAATTGGTCTCAGCTAATAACAAATGCATCGTAGGCTCCGTAGGAATAAAAATATTCTATGAATCCGTAGCTCCGCAATACACTGCTTTTACAGGCCTCATCCTAAAATTTTAATTTTGTTGACAAATTGTAAGAAATATAGCGAGAGAAATGCGTATAAAACTACGATGCACAAAACAAAAAAATAAAATTATACGCTCGATAAAGAACGATACTTAATGGAAAATGGAACGAATGACAAAATATACTGTTAATATGATAAACCCGATTTAAATTTATTAAATCTTTATCATTTAAGCTTTTATCTAGAACATATTATAGAAACCACATAATTTATTTAATTCATACCATTTATATGTACCATAATTATAAAATTTAACGTACTAAAATTTTTTCCATTACTCAATTTACCTCCACGGCTACACCTTTTTTTTCTGATACCCAATTTATCGAGATAAGGTCATTCAATTTACCAACCCCGCAAAAAATGTAGCCAATTAATGTTATTAAATAATCTATAAAAATAAAATGTATTTATCCAGTTTATAGATAACAAAGTAATAAAATTAATTAAATAAATTGATTAACATTAAAGTATAGTCATTTAAGAAAAAAATATGATTTAATAGTAATTTTGTTACTCTTATCAAGTTCTAGACTTTTAATATAGTTTTAATAAAGTAAATAATAAAGAAAAAAATTGATCGAATTAGAAAACGTTGTAGGGTAAACTATGATAGTTGGTAAATCAAAAATACTAATGATATAACTAAAAACTTGAATGTATTTCACATCATAATTGTTTGGATAATTTACTTACACCTCCTCGTTCAAAATTTAAATGAAAACAATCAAGACTTTTTCTGTTTTGTCCATATTTTTTTAATGAGCGCTTTTATAAAATCAGTGATTAGTGTTATTATTATTTTTAAATAAATCATAAATGAAGTATTAAGACAAACTGAACTGTAAAATAAAAAAATAATAAAGAAATAATCATGTTACTTTTAATTGAGATAAATAATTATAACAGACCAATACCAAAAATTCTTTCATTCATTTAATTAAATATTATACATTAATTGTAAACATTTTTTTCTTTAATTTTAAGATGACTGTTCTTTTTCTTTAGCATCTTTTTCCTTTTTCTCCTTGGCTTTAGCTTCTGCTTTTGCTGCAGCAATTTCAGCTTCCATTTTCTCATATTCAGTAATAAGTTTCTCAACTTCATGTTTTTCCAGTATATTTGTGACAGTCTGATCATTTTCTCGTTTAAGTGTAGCCATTTCCACTAAAATAAAAAAATCATATCAATTATCAACTCATAAATTATTGTAATTTATGCAGGAAACTAATGTTTAATTGAGATATTAGTAAATTTTTATTAGTTTGTTCAAAGATAAAAATTAGTTGAATGTTATTCAAATTACACCTTTGTATATTGATAAGTTTATAACTAGGATAATAATAATTATGATCTTAAAACTATACAAATGTGTCAATTAAATAATCGAAATTTACATTAAAAAAAAAAAAAAAAATACAACATAAAGTTGTATTTATCTAGAATATATATATATCTATAGCAGTGATTTTCAACCTTTTTAACAATGTAGCACACTTCTTCTTCTACAAAATTTTTGCGGCACACCAATAATCCGTATAATACGTGAAGCATATATTTTTATATATAATACATATATATATATATGTATATATACAAAATTAACTCCATCAATAGATTTATCGCGGCACACTTCAAAGGCGCTCTCGGCACACCAGTGTGCCGCGACACACCGGATGAAAACCACTGATCTATAGTAAGTTATTAATAAATAATAGCTAATAATTTTTAAATAATAAAATTAATTTAGATTTTAGATTTTAAGAGAAGCAATTAACATATTAGTTATAAAATTATTTGTAGTTTTTTAGATTCTGAGCAAAGCAATGATTGTATTAATTTTATCATGTTTTTTTTTTTGTGGATGAATGCATGATTAGTTGTCAATAAAATACTTTGATCTTCAAAAATGGGGATAGACATCAAATTGAATCTAGTTTGAATTTTAGAGAGATCAAACTTAAAAATTCTCAGTAATTATTTATTTTTTTTTTAAATTGGAAAAACAAACACAAAAAAATAGGAAAAATGGTTATTTTTATTTAAATATAATTTTTGACAGATTCAATTTACTTAACCATAATTACTTGAAAATTTCATCAAATGTTTATATAATATTTTTTTTATTTTTGAGCTATTTAAAGGTAAAAGAAACTAATTTTTTTTATAAATGTTGACTAAAAAATTATTTGCAAATGTTTACAATATTAATAATCAATTAAAAAACAATTATTTAAAAAAAAATATCAGCAAATATTAAAGTCATCATTTTCATTAAGTGATTAAATGATAATAATATGTAAAAAAATAACATAAAAATGTAAAAGTAACTTCACAAAAGATTAATTCAAAAAATAAGTTAATAAAACCTACAATACCTTACATTAGGATATATTTATTTAAAATATGAAATAATTCAGATTTTGTCATACCTTGTGAAAATATTGGGAGATTATTTTCAACTACTGAGAATGAATGTGAAGATTTTTTTTTAGTTTTCAATATATTTTACCTTTATCAGCTGTAAGTTTAGTTGCATCCAAAGTTTTTGATAAAATTTTCACAGCCAATTTTTTTGCTTCATCTAAAGTCATCTGTCCTTCTTTATACTCAGTTTTCAATGATGCGATTGCAGCCTATAATACAATTTGATTGATTAAAAACAGTAAGCAGTTTAATTAAATTAAAAGTTTTAAACATACTGCACTGTTTGTTCCAATACAAGTTGCTTTCCAGCCGCAATAATTTCCACTAGGATCTGACTGATATAGTTGAAAACCATAATGTGAATCCCAACCCATATATAATATAGATACACCAAATGGTCTTTTACCTATAGAATATTTAAATACAATATGTTCAAGTTTTTTTTTAAAATAAATTACCTCCATATTGAGTGTATGCTTGTTTTACATCACACAGCCACGAAACAAGCTGTTCACAAGGTATAGAATCACCATATTGCATACGATAACGCTCAGAAATAGAACGTAATTCACTAACCAAAACATTAGCATCAGCAGTAATACCAGCTACACTGCAAACCATGTCACTGGAAATTTTTTAAGATTAAGTTAAGACATTTTAGTTTTTAAATAAGTAATGAATAGTATTTAAATTACTCATTTAATTTATAAATTTTCTCTGAGCCACAAGTCTCATCAAGCAGTTTATTCACATTTCGTTTTTCAGCAGCAAGAAGAACTCCATCATTTGTAAGTATGCCCAAACATGTACCGGCATGACTGATTGCTTCTATAGCATATTCCACTTGATATAATCGACCTGAAACAAATAATATGGTTCAAAAATTTGATAGATTCATTAAACAAAAAATACTAAAAAAGAAAAAAAAATGTAAAAACAACTATTAATGTTACCTTCGGGTGAAAAAATAGTTGTTCTTGTATCATATCTTCGAGCCTAAAAAATAAATTAATAAGAAAATTAAAATAGTTTTATATATTTATTAAATATTACAAGATGATAAAATGAAAATTAAGAATATTATGCAGTATTAAATAAAAAAATGTATACATCTCATTACCATTTTAAAAGTATCGAAAAGAAAACTATATTAAAGTTATTTTAATACAGCAGTTACTTATTTAATAATTTTTGTAAAATAAAAAAAATTTCAACATTTAATTCATAATATATTGTTGATAAACAATGACAATACTGAATACTTTAAGTTGAATAAAGTTTAAATCCGGGAAATTTTAAGGTTAAATGAATAACGCAGAGTAATCTAGTTTATATTGAACATCTTTGAAATTAAAAATTTTTAAATGATAAGCACTATCTTATTGTTACCTTATTTTTGGATCAATGGTCTATGGTGGTAACTCTGGTATCTCACTGATAACGATAAACAATAGCTTGAAAAGTTAAATTAGAATAAGTAGAAATTAGAAAATACTAGAAAATATAATTATGGATTATGTTCTTAACTGTGTATAAAACTATAAACTGTAAAGTTATTACTTGATAATTAAATACATAAGTACTTAAAAGTTAGTAATAAATAAATACTTGTTATTTATACAAGTTAGGGCATAATTATTGAATATAAATAGGTACATATTATTATAGTTGTTAATTCTTTCATTGTTTATTTTCATTTTTATTATATTGGTATTTAAATTAATTATTAGAGGTAACTTCTAACGAAATATTGTAACAGCTATAATTTGATACAATATTATGTTCTATGCAATCATCAATCACAATCATTAATAATTAATAACACAAATGTTATAGGTAGGTATTCTTTTATTATTATTATTTATATTTTTCATTATTACCAGTAATCAGTATTATTGTTTTTATTAGCTAAAACGATTGTTTGGCAGCTGTCATTGCACCCAAATTTTAATAGTTTTAATATTTTATACTGGAATTCTCGTTTAAAATGGAACTCACAGAAGATCAGAGAAAACTTATAGAGAAGAACAGAAAAAAAGCATTGTTAATAAGACAAGAAAAATTAAAAGCAAGATCAACAGTACAACCTTACCAAAAGTATAAGATTTATTTTGAAAATATATACTTTAATTATAACAATATATTAATAGCTGTAATATACAATAAATTTTAATAATTATTTTTTTTTGTTAAAGACCCATATCAAAGATAGATAAAAGTCATCAAATTAGAGTTGCTGGTCAATCATATGTAGACACCGAAGCTGGGTTTTTGCTTAATGAGGATGATCTATCAGATAAAAAACCGGTTTGTTTAACAATGGTGTCTAAATTAATGAATAATTAATAAGATCATGACTTGAAATTTATTGACATCTTTTACCATTCAAATTAATTTTATCAAAAAAATAACTGTTACAAAATAAATAAATCTAATTAAATTAGTAAATGTACCTAGTACTTGTATGTACTTATTAGCATAATTAATACTTATAACGTTTTAGTGTATAATACATGTTAAGTCATTGTACATGTTTACTTGTAAATTTAGGTAAATAATTTTTATTTAGTCTTTTTTTAGAATTTGATCTACTAGGACTGCCATGATCAACTAATTTTATGAGAAACTGATATAAAAATTTATTAATTTTAATTATTTCAAGAGAAATATTGCTGATGACTACTATAACACCTGATGAATGGAAATTATACCACTGTCTGAAACTTATTAGCTATAATAATTTAACTATTAGTTATTCAGAAAATTGTATAATTCTTTTAAGTGAAGCTAATGTATAAAGAGTTGAACTTAATATTCAATATTAAAAATCAAGACCTTATTAAAAAATTTTTTGCCCATTTAATTGATTACTGCTCAGTAAAAAAAAAAAGCTTATCTAATCGACAAGAAATTTCAAAATTTGGTTCATCTTTTGGAAGATATAAAATAAGTTTGTCTTTAAATTTAACAATATATAATATATGTATTTAATTATTTTATATGACATTTGTAATAATTTTTATTGGTCCAATTTCAAACATATAAGGTATTTTTTTTAACTTATAAATTTCTATTTTTTCCTTTCACTTATATACTAAGCCTGAAAACTCCCTGTAGGTCATGTCATATGCTAAACAAATGTTATATTTACTTTGATAAAGTTCATATATTTTGGTAGTTATTATTCAAATTATTATTTGTCAATTCCTACTGATTAATATCTATATGGTTTATTTAATTTAATTAGGTAATACTAGCATCAGCGCCTAATCCAATATTATCAAAAATTGAACAGCCTTTATGTCTTGAATGTAATCATGAATTTGGTATTTCTTACTTGATGACTAATTTTGATCATCCTGTCTGCGATAGATGCAAGTATGTAATTATGTTATAAATTTAAGTTTTAATTTAATAGATTATAGTTTAGTGCAGTCGCTTTCAATCAATCGGTGTACTGTGAGCATCTTTGATGCTATTGTATATCAAATATTGTGTATAATATATTTTACATGTTTCACATTTTATATAAATTGGTGTGTCATGAACATTTTGTAGGAAGAAGATAAAGTGTGTTATATTGCTAAAATTATTGAAAACTATTAGCTTAGTTTATTAAGTGAAACTATTTCTATTTAATAATCACTAAAGATGAAATATGAAATTAAAAAAGTTAATAGAATCCATTATATTAAAATGTTTCATTGTAAAATTTTAAAGTATCTGTAATACTTTTGTTTTAAACAGGGATAAGTTTGGAAAAGAAAAATATGATTTGATTACCAAAACAGAAGCTAAAAAAGAATATTTATTAAAAGATTGTGATATTGATTTGCGATCACCTCCACTTAAGTTTATTCTGGGCAAAAATCCACACAATTCCAGATGGGGTGAAATGAAATTATATCTTTTACTTCAAGTAGGTAAAAATAATTTTAATATAGTTATATGTTAATATGTCATGCTTATAGGTAGAAAAAAGAGCATTAGAAGTTTGGGGTTCTGAAGAAGAAGTAGAACGACAAATTGAACTAAGACAAGAAAAGCAAAAGGCTTCTAAGTTAAAAACATTCAAAAAAAAAGTTAAAGGTATGTCTAGTATGAATGTATCATAATTCTTTATGATTATTGATGACTAGAGTTAGGATGTTGATGACTTTTGCATTTTTTTTCTTTTTATTTTGTACAATGTTATCCTTGCTAAAAATTTGTTTCATGCTCTCTTGACGCAGAATATTCTAATTTTATTTTGCATTTTTAGCTATAAATGCATTTTTTGTTTTTAACGTCATTTTTTTAACATTTTAAGTGATTTTTTCATCTTTTAGGGCATTTTTTGTACTTTTTATACAATGTTGGGCATTTTTCACAAATTATAGATTTTAGGACAAATGTTACGCAAATATTTTTAATATAATTTTTTTTATTTATATTTTACATTTAAATTTATTTTTAATATTGAAATTTATTTATAAATTATTTAAATGCTTCTACTATTACACTCATTATTACACCCATATCTCTAATAAAAATTATTATTTATAAATAAGTTTGTTCTCTTACTTAATTAGTATTTTAGATAACTTTTAAGGTCATTTTTGTGTGTTTTTTAGGACATTAACATCTTAACTCTATTGATGACTATGATTATTTATTTTTCAGAATTAAGAATGTCAACTAGGAGTAGTTTATATACAAAAGTCACAAAAGCTTCACATCAACATGAATATGATACAGAGATATACAATGAAGAAGAAGATAATTATGAACGTACTTGTACTACTTGTGGTTTTCACGAAATTTTTGAAAAAATGTAAATAAAATTAGTTAAGAATAAAATTTATTTTTGTAAACGATTAAATCTTATTATTATATGTGTTTTAAATCTAGGCTTTCCAATATTGAGAAGCTTAAGAATTTAAAAATAATAATATTAAATAATATATAATTTTGATCCTTTTTGTTATAAATTAATTTAAGCTATTTTGTGTATAATATTGTATAAATTTGAGCAATATTGCCATACTAATATTTAAGTATTGAATTTTATTTATTTTTGTGGCTAAAATATTACATCTTAACTTGCTGGAAAATTTAATCCTTATTAAAAGAGTAAATATGTTTATTGTATTATTTAATATACAATTACTAAAAGTAATAATTATAACTAATAGCATAGCCAGTAAAACAAAATTATACTTTTAAAAAATTGAACAAAAATATAAACTGTGCTTAGTGAGTTTTATAGTTTTGAAAAAAAAAAAAATTTTTATCATAATTATTTTATAAGTTCTTTTCTTTTTTTTTTTTTAACAAAATATTACATAATTAATGAGTAATAATTATAAAAATTTAAGTGAGCAAAATAAAGTAGTATAGAGTATCTCACTAAATGTTGGTCTTCAACTCTGTTTTAATAGTTTTTGATATCAGAGTTGTTTAATAAAAGAAACACCTTGTATACCCATAGCGCCGAGAGATTGCAAGTCAGTCACGCATCCAAATGAAGTCGCTCCGCGGTTTTGAGGTCTAATTTCTCCCATCAAGTTGACTGGTTTAATTTAATTAACGATTACTGACAACGGTCAATGATGTGAGATGATTATCTGACAGTGGGAGATGCACGAACTATGATGAGTCTTAGTCGCCGCCGACTTGCACTCTCTCGGCGCTACTGGTATAGGTTATATGGGTCTTATTTCTATAATTAATAGCAGTCTTATATCAGAAAAAAAATTAATTTTTGGTGAGAAAATAAAATACATACGTGAATACTACTTATAAGGGTTAAAAACAGGTATAAACACTCCTAAAGTTTCAAAAAACGTACACAACATTTGGTGACAATTGATTCTTAAGTTTATAAGACCCATACATATGTCCTTTTAATAATCTACATAAAATAAAAACAGCTTTGTATAAATGTTTAAATTATTATAATAATAATGAAAATGTAATTTAAAATATGTTGATACAGTACTATTTATATTTCCAGTTCTAATAAAAATATTTACTAAAATATTAACTTATTTTTATTTTGTACATATAAATAACAATCAACATAGAATGACTAGGCACCTAAATTAGAGCAATTTTAGAAGTTTTGAATTTGTTAGTGGAACACGTCTGAACCAAGTTGATGATCCACGGTTCAACTGATCAGTTTTGTACAGGTATTTCATACATTCCAACCAATTTCCAAATACAGGCATGTCAGGAGGCATACCAGCAGCTAACCTGTTCAAAAAAACATTTTCAAAAAAAACATTTTCAAAATTTAATTTGAAAATAAAAAATTAATTATCTACGTACCCGCAGTTGTTGATTGCTGTACAAGCAGTTACAACATTAAATGAATATGTAGCAGCATTAGCTAAATACTGAAATAAAAGTAAATATAATGTTTTAATAAAAATTGAATGTCAACAAATAAAAATATCAAGTAAATGTTATTGTTTTAAGAGAACGCCACACCCGTATGTGTTATCTTTGTCTTACATACACACAACATAGCAAATTTTTGTTCGGCATAATCTATTTTATATTTTTAGTTTTAACATTAGACTCATTAGAGTAAATTTACCTATTATCAAACTTAATGGTTAGAATTTTATCTAAGCAATGACATAGGCTTTTATTGATATTTTAATTTTAAACTGAGTTATAGCTATGTAAAATATTAAAACTTTAAAAAAATCATAACTCACTTTAAAATTAAAATATCAATAAAATTTTATGTTATTGCCTAGATAAAATTTTAACCGTTAAGTTTGATAATAGGTAAATTTACTCTGCTGAACAAAAGTTTGCTATGTTGTATGTATATAAGACAGAGACAATACATGTGGGTGTGGCTTTCTCTTAACAAAAATTTCATATTTATACTTTAATTTTTTCTATATTCATGTCTTTAGGCTCAGAGCAGAAAAATTAAATCAATGATTTTACAATGTATATATATTTTGTTAATTTTGAATATGATTCGTTAACATGCAATGTAATCTAACCTAACTCCATATTGTTCTCAACTATATTATTGTACTGTTAAAATATTGATATTAAATTTAGCAATTTTATAATATCAAAAGGTACACTTCTACAATTTGTCATTTAGTATTTATCTTCTAATCATTGACTAAATTAGGAGTGCAATTTGTCTTCTTTAGAAAAAAAATATGCATACCTGAGTAATGTGTACTCTTTTTAATTACAGTCTACTTAATAAGATTTTTAAATATTCAGGTACACACATATTGTTATACTTAGCAATGCCTTTAAAATTGTTTATAATTTAAATACTGTCTTTACTATAATTAATAAAATTAATTTTACCGAAGCAGCAAAATCAGCAATGTTCAAAGTCATGGGTGAAGGATCAAATACATAACGTGAAAATACTTGTTTTGCTACATTAACAAGAATTACAGTTCCTAAACCAGCAAATAGACGTGGAATGATACCAGAGAAGAGTCCTTTTACTCCTTCTTCACGGTTTATAAGTAGAACTGATTGTAATATTAAGCTGAAATGAAAAACAAACACATATATGTCATTTAGTATACTTAATTAGTAAGAAGAACAAAAAAAAATAAATAAAATTAAATATTTATATGTTAACTAACGTGTAACGATGTTCATAACCAACAAATTGAGCCATCATTCTCATAGAAACAATGTGTAAGGGATGGCTCAAAATAATACTTGTAGCTGTACATATCATTTCCTTTGATGTTTTAATTGCACACTTTTTCCATCTACATTAAGTTAATTTAATATAAGTATAATAAATTATAAATTTATGAAGAAAGGAGTAACAAATTAGTAGATTAATTGTATTTGGAGATGAAATTAGGATAAATTCAGCCAGGATTCAAGTGCATAGTATTAAGGATGTAAATTATTATTTTATCATCAGAAGTATTCAAATTTATTGATAATTGATACTAAAGTTACTGATACTTACACTTCTAAATCTGAATCTTTATTATCTATATTTTGATTTTTGTCAATTTGAATATAATCAGACATTAAAGACGATGAAAAATGTTCAATACAAATTCCCATGATCTTAGGACCTAATCCAATATACATTCCTTTAAATCCATCTACTGAATAAATGTATTTAGCTGAAAATAATAATTGTTTTTATATAAACAAACAAAAAAAAAAAATTGATGAAATAGAATTAATCTTCTTAAGTTCAAATAAATACATTTTAGTAGATAAGTAAACTTTTTATTTGTTCTTAAGATCAAGTATTGTAATGTTCTAATATAAATAACCATTATCCTAAAATAAAATCTTAGACATCTGTTCAATATGTAAACTATCCATTACTTAATAATTGTATAAAATGATACATATATGGGAAAGAGAAATTAAAAAATCTACAGCTTTGACATTGCTAATGGAATTTTATTCAGTTGAAAAGGTATTTACCTAATTTAAAAATATATGATACTAATATTAATTTACTTTTGTAAAATTGTATTCAGTTGCAATGTATTTAAAATGAATTGTTTTAATAAAAATAATTATATGATACACTTAAATTAATTACATTTTCTTAAACTGTATGTCATTGAGAAAAGTATAAAATTAACAATCAATAAATAAACATTAACTGCCATTCAATAATATATTTATTTATATAATATATTAGTATATTACAATCACATAACTTAAATTTAAATTCATTTTATAAATTGTTTAGAGAGATTGTATTGAGTAATAAAATTATTACTACTAGAATTTTAATGATAAACCTTTTTTCCTCACACTTGCATTATATCTATAAAAAATAGTTTTATGAATTGTGGGCCCTACAGGTATTCTGAAATATTTTATATTAAAAAAATTTTAGCTATAGTATCAAAGGATATGCTTAAAACTTTAAATAATATATAAAATAAATACCTATTTTTGTATTGATTTTAAATGATAAGGATAATTAATTGTGTTAATAAACTAAAATTATACTCCCTATTTTAATTAATGGATAATTATAAATAAATATTTAAAAGTATAAATTAATTACCATAAACTACTAAATTAGGAAGGAACAATCGTTCTTCACCAAAAATACTTCTGTAGCGATATGGTGCCATCGGTTCATGGCCAATCTGTAAAAATAATATATATTATTTAAAAAAATAAAATAAAAATTAACATATTAATTAAATGAGTATAATATATTATATAATAAGCATTCAAAATATTAATAAAATGTGTTAAAGTAAATAATTTTATTAATTTCAAACAACGTTTTGACTTTTACATAATAATAGTTATATTAACCATGTGTAATAAATCTTTGTATATTAATTAGGTTGAAATTGTAGTTAAAGTAATTAATTATTATAGTTGTTTAATTCATAAATTTAAAACAACTAAGAAAACTTTTCTTGCATATTTTCATAATTTTTACTGCATATTATATGGCATATTTCGATAATTTTTAGTAAATATACATCCGTGCTCTGCTTATAATTTAAAGGTTTTGGGTTATATAAAAGTAAGTTAGAATAATAATTTACTTTAATAAAAATAGAAAACAATACTCATCAACAATTATCATAGATTTTATACTTTCATATTTTTGAATTCTTAAATTATACAAATTTATACTGTCTCACAAACAAAAATTCTAGTTTGAAAAAATAAATTTCTATGAAATTGAGTTAGACAATCTCATTTATATAGATTTTATCATTATTCCTAGAAATAAGTACTTAAAATTTGATAATTTAATATATTTGGCTTTTATTTTTATTAACTAAAACTATCAAATGTATTGCATTTAAAGTTGAATGATTCAACTAGGATTTAAAGGCTCTCTTTCACAGCACATTCAAAAATCTAATTAAAATTGAAATGCTTTTTTTTCAAAGGTAAACTAAATATTAGACTAAAATTTAATAGTATATAGTTTTAATAGATTTTTGTTGAAAAATCACATTTGTAGTTATTTTGATTTGAAGAAATTATCAGGGTGTAATGTGACATTTGGGATATATTACATTCATCTTATACCTAATTAACATAAGAAAGAATTTCACTTTGTATGACTAAAAATTATGTTAGGCAACATAATCAGTGTATATTTTACAATTAATTATTACATATTATTATTATTGTTAAAATATTTGAGTATTAAAAATTACAATTAGATGAATATTCTATTAAAACTTACCTGCACCAAAAATCTAGCATAATCTAGAGGATGAATTAAGGTTTTCATAATGCATTTTCCAATTAAAGTGTGTCTAGGAGCATCACCATTTTCTTCGCTCCGATTTTCAGTGTCCGAATCCATTTCTTAATAAAAAAAATTTTAAATCATAAAATACTCTTTAATAAAAAATATATGTATCACTTGAACTCACCGGTTATTGGAATATTCGATGATACAATTCAGTATAATATTCTAAATAATATTATGATATTTTTTAATCGCTCAAAAATAAATGGACATAATGGTCGAAAATCCAAACTCAAGAAAAAAAGAAAAATTATTATCAATTATCATTAATAAGTATTATCATACTGATTACTGACGTCCGATCACTCCTAAAGATCAAAAGGCGGTGCCAATAGTCGGTTCTTTCTGGATTTCTAATAACTGTTAGTGCTCCCAGTGAATAACAACAGTAACTACTAACTATACGAGGAACATTAGTTTGAAATTGCGTGGGTTTTCAAAAGTACTTATTTTTTAAATAATTTATTGTTTTTCCTTCAAGAATTCAAAATGTGAATATTTTCATAAACCATACTAAATAACTATTATTTTAACTCTATACTATTACTGTCTATGACTATTTTTCAATTATTTTCAATTCTTTTTATTTTGATGTGCAAATGTGCAATGTACCTACGTTATAACTAGGTATTGTTCGTTATTACTAGAAGTAATTATTACTTAATACATATAAATTATGATTATCAATATTATTAATCTATTTTGCTAAGAGCTAATAGTAATTTTTTATTCTTTGAGATTAATATAATGTTAATATAAAAATCATAATACTTGGAAATGTCCATTACTGCATATGCGAATCGCATTTAATTTCCAAAAAAGAAGATAAAATTATTATATGAAGTTTAGGTAAAGGTCATAGTAAATCAGTAATTGTACTTTGTTTATTTCATGTATTAAAATCTGACTAAATTGTAAATAATTATAATTTAACAAATTATTGTAAATATATTTACAGTTATACCGAATCAGTCAGTTTAATCATTAATTATTACCTAAAACGAGAAATTGTACCATTTTGGAAAGTAAAAATAAAAATAATAACTATTTGAATAAGTATCATCATAAATTTTAAAGATATAATAACTAAGGTATAATTGACTTCAATTCTGGGCAAAATCATGGGGACTAGACTCATTAATTTGCTAATTCTAAGAAACATTTTTTTCCTGCACAATAATTACGCTTAAGGACGGCCCTGCTTCAACTTACTTTAAAAAAAGCCTTCCTATTATAAAAATCAGTGATTTTAAGGAAATAATAAATAAACAACATCAATGCACTAAAAACTTTAAAATTAGCAAATTAAAAGAGAAAAAAAGATAACACATATAAGGGGAGCTTAAAGCGATACCCTTTTCCCCAAATGTTGCGTAAAAACTAAATAATTGTATTACTATGACAAACAATGACTTTTCTTATAGTTTACTGTTATTTTTAATTTGTATGTACATTTTATAATCAATAGTACATAATTTCGCGGATAGTTCTATTCATAATTCGGTAATTTCTAATCGTACAGATTGATGATGTAAGTATGTGACTAGTGGGAGTCATGCTGTCGTCTCACATCGTAATCACCTGCATTTATATGTTTACAGATATAAATATTTTCATTAGGTATAATTTTGTATTTTTATTCAGTGCCACAGCTTACCCTTTTAAATATTTAGTATTTACCGTGATATTGATGTAAACATCACTAAAATTAATAAAATTATTGACATGTCTTTAAAAACCAAAAGAAAATATATTTTGCTTTATAATTAATTCATAATTGATATTTAATATTATATTTTAATTGTTTATGCTAAACATTCTTAAATAGATTATTTTTTTCAATGTACTTACTTAATTTTTTTTTAATTTTTAGTTGTTAATTTATTCCTTTACAATGTTAAGAAATATTTATTGTAATAATTATATTATAGAATTATTTTATATAAATTATATTATGTCCATAATATAAAATGCTCCCTTCCTAATAATAATTCTGGAACCGAGACTGGTGTGATTTTCTCATGATATTATAGTTAATTATTTTTTTACACACTGCAAAATCTTATTATCTTTTTTCACGGGTCTTTTGAAATCATCCAGGCCAATTCATTATTTTATTCATTTTTTTTCTAATAGCAGACAATTCTGATAGTCTTGTGAATGTCCACTATTCAAAGGTTTCATTGCATATTATTTGACGAGTAAGTATGTAATATAATATTTAAATAGGAAGTGTTCATGATGTTCATGGTTATATTATAGACATTATAGTAAAAGTTACAAGACCTAGAAGGAACAATAAAGTTACTTAGTTAATACTTAATAGTTATGCAATTATTTGACCTAAATTGGCTAAATTCTTCTTTGCATAAAACAATGCATCGATACACAATATTAATAATATGTATTATTAAAGGACATTATAAATAATTTAAAGTATTGATCTACATTATGATTTATGGTGAGACTATTAATTAATAATTATTATCACTGTATCCACAGCTACAGTTTTATGAGAATAATAATACTAAATTAAAACTATAATAAAGGAAGTACATTGATATATTAATCAATTATTATTTTATTATTTACCAATACAAAATTTGGAAAATATTACATTGAGCACTTCTTCAGTCGACACATGTCCTGTAATTTTTCCTACATGTAATGTTGCTTTACGCAAATACTGTGCAGCAACATCAATGTTTTCATCAGACTTTGAAATTTTGAGATACATCTGAACATTATTCAATGCTTTTAAGAGGCAATATCTGTGTCTTGCTTGACTACATCGTGGATGTTCGAAATTTGGATTTCCACATCTTAGCAAAATTAAAATAATAAACTGTAATGAACATACAATATAATTTTATCACAATGTACTTACAATTTTTGCAAATAATTTTCAAATGTTCTCATCATATCTGTTAAACCTTTATTAACTTTACACGAACCAAAACACACGGTCCAGGTAGAATTTTGTGATATTTTTTTAAGTCGAATAACTTGGTCGTCTGCCACAATGTCAATTTTATTTATAAATACTAAACAATTATCACAATGCACTTTCAAATTTTCTACATATTTTTGAAGCCACAAATCTATGTTGTTTACATCTAAGAGATATTGTGCATCAATCATCAGAATCACCATGTCAGCACTTTGGGCCTGAACTTTAGATTTCTTTATTCCCAAGTCTTCAATCAAATTTACAGTTTGAGAACGAATTCCTGCAGTATCAATCAAAATTACAGAGTAACCAGACACATCTAAAGACACCTGAATTGGATCTCTAGTTGTACCAGGCAAATCTGTTACTATAGCTGCTTCCCTGCTACCTATATGAATACAATTTAATTTTATCATATAAGATAATTTAATTTGCTAATATAGTTAATATACATACACAAGGAATTTAAAAGGCTACTCTTCCCAGTATTTGGTGCTCCAATTATTGCTACTTTGACTCCATCACGTAAAAGTTCACCCGATCTGTTGTCCATTAAATGCATCTAAGAATTTTAAATGTAAAATTAATTATACAGTTGGCTTTTTACAATTTTTGAAATTTACTTCAATCTCTTTAGCAAGTTTTTCTAGATTTTTTTGAACTTTTTCTAACACCAGGTCTTCAATATTATCTGTTTCACTGAAATCTATATAAGCTTCGACATAAGCTAAATTCTAAAATTGTAGAAACTTTGATAAATTACAATAATGTTTAACACATACGTATAAATAACATGCTTCTAAAAGATATTCTCTCCAAGAACTGTAAAGTTGTCTCAGAGCACCTTCTAACTGCATCAGTGCTTGCTTTCTTTGCAACTCAGTGTCAGCTTCTATTAGGTCGGCCAAACCTTCTACTTCAGTTAAATCCATTTTGTTATTATAAAATGAACGTTTGGTGAATTCTCCTATGAATGATGATAAAATTAAATTAAAAAATATGTAATGCAAAATATATTAATGAGGGAAATGAAACTTTATTTGAAAAGATGGGTTAGATTGTATTATGCAGCTGTCTAAAAAAAATTAATTTAATTTTGTTAGCAAATATAAAAGTAATCATTACAACATTACCAGGGTCTGCTGGTCGAAAATTTGGTAGTTTTGATAAACCATGAAGAATTGAAGTTACAACAGCCCTTCCACCATGTACTTGAAATTCGCAACAATCTTCGCCTGTGAAACTTTTAGGGCCTAAAACATAATAAATTTGAATAGGTAAAAAAAAGTTGAAAAATGTAGGTAAAATAATATATTACCTGGAAACCAAAGTAATAATCCATTGTCTAATTGTTCTTTAGTAGTTGGGTCAATAATTTTTTTCAAACTAGCTTTTCTAGGTTTTGGTAAATATTTTAAATGGGTCATATTTAATATAGCGTCCGATGCACACGGACCAGATATTCTGATAACAGCTACACCACATTTTCCAAGACCTAAAACCAATTATAAATTTATAAAATTAATTTTACAAATGAGTTCATTTAAAATTCATCTGAAATTCTAGACAAGCACATAACAAATATTGTCATTTTATAATTGTTATTATAGAAAGAAAAATCTAAGAAATCTTCTGACTCAATAAAATTATCTGTGGACCAAAAATAATATAGGTACCTATTTTGATTTGTATAAAATGTATGAAACAGTCCTGTTTAAAATTTACAAAATTAAATATAGTAAAATCATTGATTAAATATACAATTGTATGCTGTAATATAATCAATGGGTAAATGTTTAACAAATCTTTAATATTTTATTATTTTGAATAAAAAAAATAACTAAATAAATATTTTGAACAAGTACAATAATTTCATAATATTCTTTCAACAAAAAATAAACAATTAAGTTTGTAATAGATTGTGAATTATCAAAATTAAAATAGATAAACAACTGTAGAAAATTTACCTGAAGAGAGTGCATAGATTGTTGACTTCAGTCTTATATGTGTTACAGTAACATTGATTGCTAGTCGATAGAATTTTGCATTCATAATGATGATCTCATGAACAAAAAAATGATGATACGTATTTTAATTCCAAATACTGTAGGAATGAAAAATTCAAGAATTTTAATAGTTTATATAATCATGTATTAAACAATAAACATTTTAAACTAATTTTATATATTTTTCATATTTGTTTTACTAAGTGATCAACTATCCTGACTCCGAGTATCTACTTAATATTTATTTTGCCGAGTTATGAATTATGATTTAGATTTTTGTAAATTAATTAATATTTAATCATGGATTTTGGATGATACATGATACTGAAAAGCAGGTGTATTGAGAGACACGAGACTATGAACGTCAGTCGTCGATTGTTGTCGAATACTCGAATGGTCGAATGCGGGATGACAGAAACGTCAGAAACAGTCAAAAGAAAAAAGAATACTAAATTACTAAATAGTAAATACTAAAACTATCTAGACAATAACAGCAGCGCTATCTACTGCCGTGGATAAACATTGCACCATATACACCTAAATAAACCTACTTAAAATTACGCTATTGTGATTAATGATTATAGATTATAGATTAATAGATATTAGATTATAGTCATTTTAATTTCAAAAATATAAATCAGTGATGGGATTTTTCGTTTCATTTTGTGAATCGTTACTATTCTACCAGGCCCGAAAAAGAAACGAGTTCAAATGATTCGTTCTTTCGGTCCTTTTATTCACAAAATATATTATTAAAATTTATGACTCACAGTTCACGGACCTGTTTATTAGTAATTATTACAGGGTTCTGTTTACTGAAATAATTATAATTCTATTATAATACATTGACTCCGTCGTAAACCCACTATCGCATATGACACTAATAAATAATAATATTAACAATTTAATATTTTGGGTTGTAATCATGTTTTATATTTAGGACTAAAAATAGGTATTTATAAATTGTAAAACCGACGGTATTTTTTGCATTTATATTACTTTATTACTAATACCAGTATTGTTACCGGTAACCATTTTCCTACTACGATAGTATGATCTGATAAATATATTTATAATAATGTAATGTAAAGAAGAATATTTTGTCGATTGGATCGATGGAAATACCTAAATCCATTGTATTGACGATATCATACATCAACACGTAATGGGGTACTTAAATACGCAATGTGTGTAAGTGTGTTGTACAATAACAACAGAATCAATTCATTTCCTATTCGGACACTCGTGAGTACACATCAATATACAATATTTTTCCATCAATTTTTTTTTTTTGAAGGTGGAATTTCTTTTTAAATTCCTTTTTTTTTTTTATAGATGGACCAGTGTTCTTTTTTTATTATAAACAACTGCTAAATATTGAATTTTAGTTTCAACTTCGGACAGTTGAACAGTGGTGGACAACAAAGTGGCCGTATCGGTAGCAGGAGTAGGAGTTAGAATTTATAACAAAAGTAGCTATTGTAAAGAATATTTATACAATGAAAAATTATATATAATACATGTTTCAGGATGCTACAACTGCCACAGATTCGGCCACGTCGCCAAATATTGTAAGTATATGTTTTACATATATGTATACAGGGCTTAGAACTTTACGCATTTCCATATTTGTTCGGAAAATATATTAAAGGTCTGTATTTTACACGAAGTTAATTTCACGGATTCACTTGAAAATCGTGAAATTAAAATTCACGCGTGTAATCTCATGAATTATAATTTCTATTATAACTACTGAATAATAACTCATTAGACGATGCTCTCCTGGCCACAAACGTTTTTCATAAACACGTGAATCTAAATAATTAATTTTACATTTTACATTTTTTTCCCATCTATTTGGCTTTTTTTATTTTTCCACATTTACAGTCATTTTTATCGATTTCACACTGATTCACTTCTTATCGTTTCTTGTTAATCGTCATGCCTATAACTTGAAACTTGAAAATTACCACGGACTAAGATTAGTACCTATGCGATTTTATTATTCGAATTTTACGCGAAGAGATGTTTTTCCAAATATAAATTTATATAATATATATATAGAAAATCCTGGTTCATTTATTTACGTTTGATATAACATCAAATATATTGGTAACTTTTTTTTTCGTTTTTTGAGTATATATATTTGTTGTCACATTTTTATGTAATTTGTAATGTAAACTTTGATACATTTATATAGAATTTTTTATGTAGTGAAATAGAGTGAATATATTTAAAAAACGCATTTTTGTTGTTAATTTAAAACAAAAATTTGTAATTTTTTTAGGTAATTTCTTAATGTTTTTAAGGTCATCGACTTCTGAGTCCTACTTATAAATAAAAACTTAATTAAGAGCATATTTTTTATTATGATTCCAAGTCCTGAGCCCTGCCTATACATACATATATAATATTATGTTCAGCACTTACAATATAACTAAATTATTTTGCTTTTAAAATTTCAGGCAGAATGCCAATCAAGCCTACAATCATAGTGGAAGAGGTGGTGGTGGTGCTAGATAAGGCTGAGGAAGGAGTGGCGGCCACTACCTGTAAAATGCAGAAATAGCCATTGATGTAAGTAATAAGTATATATTATATATGATAATATTATAAAGAATTGTTCGTTAAAAATTAATATACATATTTTAAAGGAAGAAAACGTGGAAACGAAAGCAATTGATATGGTGAGGCCCTTTTTTGAAAATCTTATTTATTGTTTTGTATATTTTTTGCAGAATGAATAAATTTTTTTTTTTTGTTTTACAATTCTTTGTGTTATTTTAAAAGATTATTCCTTTGTCTCCATACGTATACATTTGAGGCATTTAATGTATGCATGCGTTTCTTATAAATCATGAATGTACATATCATTGTTTAATTTTTTAAACAGGTAATATATTATCTATTAATTAAAGGTATTGCAATGAATTAGAAAAGTATCCTATAGTATAGGTATAATATACATATAATGTATTTAAATTAAAACAGTATAATAATGTAATGTGTGTAAGATATGTAAAAAACTTGTGTATATAATAATTTTAATAATCAATGAAATAATAATAATTAGTATCACATGAACGTTTGGTCGAGCACCATAGCTACCAAATGTTAACCAAAATGTAGACAAAAATGACTTGTATAAGTAAATAAAGGCAGCATTACTACCGTCAATACACTCTTTAATATACCTATTTTTTTTATACAACATTTATATATTGTAATCGCATAACAAATTGTAATACAACACACTGACGCATCATTACAGGCATTTTATTAAATCAAAAAAACATCATTACTGTATGCATACATGTCTTTTAATATACAGTATATATATATATATTATTATATATCAAAATAATAAATATATGTGATGATGTGTGTGCATTAATAATATGATATATTTATTATTCTCACCAAATTTATGCTAAAAAAAATTAAATGGATTTGCACTCGCTTGTGATGATTAATACAATATCCATATTATAAACATATATTATTAATTAAAATAATTAACACATATATTAGCATATTAGCAACGCTTCATAATGCATTCCTATATTCACACATAAAAAATACAAACATACATATAAATATATGATACTGAAAGCTATAAATTGTATTGAATTTATATTAATATATATAATATAAATATATTGTTAGGTATTTACCAACAGACTCTGTTGCTAATTAAATTAATATACCATACCACTAACCTAAAATGCAATCGAAAACATTTCATGACTTTTTGTATTGTTGTAATTGTAATTTTCAATATAATATACGGATCTGTTAAATTTGAATTGTGTACACAATTTTTTTATACATCTAAAAATGTATATATGTGTTTATTATACGATACAATCGTGCGTTACGAATACCGTTGCGGTTGTGGATGAGTCTGAGGGTTTTCAGCACCGAAAACAAAACAACACGTTATAATAATGCGGATAAACAATGCGATTTTTATTGAATAAAAAAAAAATACATATATATATATATATATATGTACACACGACTAAAACACGAAATAGGTAGTAAAATCATGGCATCGACCGACCGAAGAACACGCCACGGATTCGCCGGTTTTCCGAACGTGACGGCGACGGCTACGAACAGAATTCACGGGGACAAACGGCTCGCAAAATACGCATTCCGCGCGGAAAACGGACACGGGACGCACGATAAAGACACGGTCTACGCGACGGAAAATCGCGTCGAAAGGCCGGAAAAACGGGCGGAGAGCGGAAAAAACAGTATCGGCGGCGACGGAGACGGGCGACTTTGGCGGGAATAGTTTCGGACATAGTACATAACCCCGTCGGACGGCATCGAGAAAAAAATTGTAATTTTGCGATTGACCAGTACACTAAACCAGAGGAATCTGGCGAAAAAATACCGGAAACTCGTTTTGGTTTTAAGTTATAAGATTAAATATAAAATAATTCATAAAGAGAAACTTCTTTTTAATAAACACAAAAAAAACTATCCACATTTTTGGTTAATATTCTGACAATTTGTAGGTTGCTAAACAAAATAATAATAACTATTATTAAAACAATAAATCCAATAAATAACTATTAAAAATAATAAAAGGTAGTACAAAAACGATTAGGAACTTACTTAAAATATGTATTATAGATTCCCATTTAAGAACATCAATGTTTCCATATATTTTATGGAAAGTCTAATGTCTATTAAGTCTGTCTGTGAGTTTCCGGCTTTAAAAAACGTTCGTTTGCATGGAACTGATGTTGATGGCACTTCCGTCTCACAATCTTCGTAACATCAAATCGTATATTTTAGGATAAATACGTTTCATTTTCTTCCACCATACAAGAGGATCTGATTTCCTTGGGATTAAAAGCTCATAAAGAAGTTTATCTAATTCCACAATTGCATTGAAAGTGTCAGTTCACACTGTTGCAAATTCTATTACCTAAAAAATATACGTAATAAGCTATTTATTAATTATCATAAATTATCGTTATTTGATAAATTGTTAAAGTTAACATTTATACCTGTGAATCAAATTTTTTCCATACCTCAGTTTTTTTTTTTTCAGTTGACATAGTAGTTTATTCTTCATCTGCAACTACATTTTCTTCTTGCATAATGGATTGTTTTTTGTGTTTAATTATACTTTAAATCTTGTCTACGATGTTTTGATATTATGTACGTTTATAATGTATTTCGCTACTGAATCCTAACGTGAATCAATTAAAGTTGTCTTCTATACTGGAAAATCTCTTTTCGGCTATTATTTCCATCTTTAAAATCATAGAACAAATATCAAATGGTAAATTTTTCTTAGTTCTCATTGTTTTTATGTGAGATAACAATGCATTTGTGAGAACTATAACTTTAGAAATTGATACACCTTTTTTTGAACTTAACTCAGTTGTAACTTCTTTAAGACTTTAAAGGACTTAAAAGTTTGCAATAATATTCTATTAAAATAAAATATGAGTTATTTAATATACTTTTAAGTTTTAACTGTAGTATAAATTTTTACTAATTAACTAGAAAATTACTTTACAATAAAAAACACTAATCTAATATGTGATTTTTATTGTTAAAAATGCATGTACAATAATCATACTTAATCATATTAGTTTTATATACACGAGTTATCGTTTTTGCTTATTGTACTGAAAATTTAAGCTACACCACACTATTGATTAATAATGGACATTATAGAAATCAACAGCATCATCATAATAATGAGCATTTATTATTGACTTATTGGTTATAACTCATTAGTCATTGCCAGGACATTAAATTAATTCATTGATTTAATTTCGACAGTGTTAAATTTAAATTAAAAAAGTTTTGATTATCAATAACATAAAACTACAAATAATTAATAATAAGGAAACAATAAAATGTCATTAACAATTATACTGAATATAACGGTATATCTAAATAGGTACTAAAAATTAGTATCAAAATATATTGTTTAATAAAAAAATTCATACAAATGACAATTGTAAAATACACATAATAATTATTATTATACCCTAATACTCTAGAAAAATATTATTATTGACTTAATAAAAATCACTTTATTATAAATAATTCTCAATAATAATCTAACAATAATATATAAAATAAATAATCAGTTATTGCTTAAAAAGAAATATGGTATTATAAAGCAATGTTAAATAAAAACATAGAAATAATAAATTAGAAACCAACACATTTTTAATACCCAATGGCACTTAATCAACATTTACAAGATAAATAATAAGGGTATACGTGTCGTATGATAAATACATTAATAGTTATCTACACATTTTTTCATAGCAAGAACTTCATAAACTCACATACACATGCTCTCAAATACAAACAATTGAGTGTTTATGAAACACCCAAAAATAAGTAAAGTTTAATACCGAATCACGTGGAGCAACAAACTCACTCAAAAGGCAATTACAGGAACAATGGTGGTGTTTAGTTCATCCTATATATGAAAGTTTTTTAGGAGACGTAAAAGATACATTTGTATAAAAAGATTATAATTTTGATGATAACTGTAACACTACAAGCTCCAACAAAAACGTTCAGGTAAGTTAAGAATATATTTTTTCACATAGATAATATACGACACGTGTACCATAATAAGTACTGTATATTATTAAAAAGAGATATTATTTTAATCAAAATTCATTGTAAATTGTTATTTTTGAATTAACACAAATAATAGGTTGAAGAAAATTAATTTAGTTTTTTTTTTTACATTAAAATAAATAGAAAAAAAAATTTTTTTCTTACAAAATTACAACAATAAACCGTGTTATACAAGTCATGATAAAAAAAAAAAAAAAAAATCACCTGAGTAATAATATACAATTTATAATAAAAATGCAAAACATTAAAATAAAAAATGAATTTATCTTATTGTCTACATTAAAAAAAAATCAGTCAAACATTTTTGTTTTCAATAATTACAAATACAAAATAAATCATAAATGGCCACGTTTTAAAAAGAAATTAATAAAATAAAAAAAAAACATTGATCAACTATAAAATGTTGTCTTTTTTATGTAAAAGGAAAGGATATGTTAAAGTTATAACAATGCATTAATAACTATTAATTATGTTACAATATCTTAGAAATAAGATTAGATTCATAAAATAACATTTGAAACTTTCTTTTTAAATAAAATGTCTATAATACATTATCATATATTTTTTGTTATTATTACTTAATTTAAATATAAAACTACAAGTTAAATGATTTAAATTTTGAATAATATAAATCAATTAAACTCAATTAATACTATTATTTTTAATAATAAGTTGTATGATAAAAATCAATTTTTTAATCACCAACTTAAAATTGAAGTTTTATTTATCAAACATAAAATTATTCATGAAATACAAACAATATTTTAAGTTTAACTAAAATGTAAATATATCAAATATCACATAATAAAGAATATGATAAAATTTTTAAGAAAGTATCAACAATTTATAAAAACTAAAATGAATTAAAACAGAAAATAACTTCAAAAAATGAAAACTGTGATGTAATTCAAGATTACAATAAATACATAAAAAAAAATTATGTTTCAAATAGTTTTAAACAACCTATTAAATGATGTTTGATTCTTTTTTATAAATAACTAGTAATTCGTAGCTGTAATTTAAATATTTCAAACTTAAATGAATAGTCAAGTTATAATTGCTGAACATGAATTAAACTGCTTTTTTTTTCATTTATTTTTAGAGTTCTCGATTTTTTTAAATAATTTTAGTGATATATTTTACACAAATAATTTATTAAAAATATTGTAACATATAACTATACTTTTAAAATTACTTTTAAGCTTACTAAAATAATCATTTATATGAATAAATATTGAAAAATACTAATTTAAGAAAGGTTTTTTTTTGTATTTAATAATTAATACATAACTTTAAATTTTATTATCTTCAATGATTTCAAAAAATTATGCTATTTTGTCAAGTTTTAATAAATACATTTAAATAGTTACAAACTTAAATTGATTAAAACAAACGTATAGCGACTGATAAAATATTAATTGCTTTATATTATTATTTATTAATAATAATTATAACTGTTGTGCACGCAACAATAGACTCTAAAATACTAGGCATTTAAGACTTAAAATATTTAAGAAATGTAAGTAGTTAGTAGATACTTAAAACTACTATTTACAATTCAATCTCAATACAAAATGTTAGATTCAAGGTTTGGCGTATAAACATAATTTCTAAGGGTCTTGTGTGATTTTAGAGGTTACAGTCCTCACCTTATTTTTACTTATAAACTTACGACCTTAAGACAATTGTATTGTAACAGGATTTTGTGGCATATAAGAGTTTTGTGAACCATCAACTATCTGTTGATCGTTATTATCACTGGTGTTTGACGGCCTATAAGTGAGGAGAGAACCTGCAGGTATATTGAGTGGTACAAGGTTGGTAGTATGGGGTTCTTGTGGCATCGCAGTAACCATAATTGGAGCACCATCTAAGGATATTGGAAGTTTAACACCACTAACTGTTATCATTGTAGTGCTACCATTGTGTTCAATAGCATTATTATCCACATTGATAATTTGATGACCTTGGGAATTCTAAAAAGTAAATTTTAACATATTAAATTTTAATAGAATAATAATTATTTTTTTGTTAATTAAAAGAAAAAAATATTTTACATATTTCATTTAATCTATTTTCAATATTTTAATTTCAAACATTAAAGTATGACTAAAAAACAAAAATCTTATTCTTATTTTTTTAAATATATTATTTTATACTGATATTTGAAAATCAAATAAAAATCAGTTTAACGGGGGCTGTAGTTTTTTTTTCAGATAAAACAAAAGTTATCAAAATCTGACAGTTTTAATAAGAGTTTCTTCTATATCCCATAATGTCATAGACTAATCCTTTCATATAAATAATTGGGCAGTGGATAAGTGGAAAAGTACCATAATTATGGTAATAACTAAAATATGATACATTTCTAATTTTATGAGGTTGCAGAAAATTTGAAAAATCATTGGACCCCATAAGATAACATCCAACATTGATTTTTTATGTATAAACATACTTTTATAAAAAAAAAATATTAATCATTATATAATTAAAGCTAAAGAACTAAAACACTGGAAATGTGAAATTTGGGATTGACTTAGCAGATATCTCAATTTTTTTTTTTTTAAATAGATCAAATATGATATAGATTTCTAAATTATGAGTTAAAATTGTTTGAGTATGGATTGAAAGATGAATATCAAAATTAATAAAGAGAAAAATAATATATCTCATTTCGCGTTAATTCTAAGGAACAAAAATAACTTGATAATTTTCTTTCTATTGAATTTGACTAATTTATTCACCATAACAACTGATATATATATATAATCTTTAAGATAAAAATATAATTTACACGGTGTTTCAGATGCAGCTAGTAGGTAATAAATTGAAGGCAGTGGCATCTTGAAGATGTTTGAGGTTTTAAATATAAAATCAATGGGTGTGTGATAAATTTAAAAAATTTATCTTTTTTTTTGTAAAAAAAAAAAAAAAATTGGCATGAAACCTTTAAAAATTCAAATTTTATGTAAGTGGGTCCTTTAATTTACACAAAATTTAAAAATTATCAGTAACCAACTGGACTTAAATACAGATGTTGATCTTATGACATAAGATATGTCTACGCTAATAAAAAAATATATGATTGAATCTATCTATTAAATAATTAGACAATCTAAATTGTTTTAGATACATAATACTGTTAAGTGTTGATTTTGTTTTCTTTATTTTGCCTAGGTTACCTTCTTAAATAAAAATATATTTTCTTACTTCTTGAAAGTATTCAATTTTTGGTTGTTGTAGTTGCACTAATTCTTGATCTTGAGAAACTTTATTGTCAATTTTATTATGTGCTGAAGCTAAATGATATTCAAGTTTATGTTTTCGATCATAACTCATACCACACAATTGACATCTAGTAAATAAAAATTAAATTGAATAATATTTATCTATTGTACATAGTGTTTATTTAAATAATGCTCAATTTGTATATAAAATTCACTTATTTTTAAAATATATTTAAAGCAAACTTTAGTAATTATTTATGTCATTGCCTACTATTTTAATATTAAAACTTCTTCAGGATACAAAAATAAATGTAATTTTTAAATAAAAAAATATATGATATTGCTTAAAATATTATTGTATAGGGTAAACTAAAGTAGTATGAAACTAGTAAGAAAAAGATTTACTTATTAACTATACTACATAAGAAAATGTAACTGGGTATATTACATTTATATTAATAAAGAAGTTCTTAAAAACACAATTAATTCAATAATTTTATGCTTGTAACAATTATTTATCAAAAATCCAAATCCTATTTTATTTTATTTTATTTGAGCACTACAAATAACAATAAACAAATAATTGACTCACATATGATTTCTATTTCTTCTTGGTGCATTTCCTGAATTATTCTCGTGGATATGCACATGAGCGTTCATATTATACTTTTCAGCAAAACGTTTGCCACATATTGGACAAGCATATGGTCGCTCTCCAGTGTGAACTCTTAAATGTCGCTTAAGATGTGATTGAGATAAAACAGCTAAACCACATTCAGAACATTTAACATGTTTTTCACCTGTATGAGTCATTGTATGTATGTGAAAACTTTTTTGATGAATAAATCGTTTCCCACATAAATCACATTGAAAACGTGTATATCCAGTATGAATAGGGATATGTTTTTGAAGACCAACTTTTTGTGTAAAAGACTTATTACAGTATTCACAAGTAAAAGGATGTATACCATTATGCATTCCAATGTGCACATCTAAAGCTTTTTTCATTTTATATGCTTGACCACATATCTAAAAACAAACATTAAGATTATAAATAATTAAGAAAAACAATATAAATGATAAATAATATACCTCACAGACATAAGGTCTAATAGAACTATGCGATTGTATATGCGATTTTAACTCTGTTACTGTCCTCCATTTTTTGCCACAAAGTCCACAACTATGTATAGCCGGTAAACAGGCACGTTCACCAGAACGTGAGCTACCCCTTTTTTTTCGTCCTTTTTTTATTTGTTTTTTATCAGATTTTTCTGATCCCGATAAAGGAGTTTTTGTTTCTTCAATCGCACTTGAACTATCTTCTATGATATTTTCTTCAATATAGTTAATTTGTTGTTCTTCTTTCCATTCAAAATCATCATCTTCATTTTCTTCTTGTACAACTTCTTCCAAGTACATGCTATTATCAATGGAAAATTCAGGTTTCACATCAATTACTACACCTTCGGGAGCATCATTCATATAATCAGCACTAGCTTCACTGACTATGTTTGAATCCGTATCACAAAGAGAGGTTTCGTTTTCAGCTATGAACAATTAATAAAAGATAAATTAAAATTTATCCTAAGAATATATATAATATACACAAGTTAAACAAACTTTTTACTGTTGGTGAAATTGAATCAACTTTATTATTAATAGTCTCTTTATCCAGAGTGTTATGCTCTTTGGATAAATGATTGTTTAATGATTGTTTGGTTGAAAAGCTTTTATTACAAACAGAACAAAAGACAATTTTAGGTTTTGTATGAACTATACTAAAATGATTCTTTAAATCTGTAGCTTGAAGAAAAGTGTCATCACATTGTTCACATTTGTAATTATCACCAACACTTTGTTCACTCAATTCTTAAAAATTAAAATTTAATACATTTTAAAATCTTTTCATTTTTTATACTAGAAATTAATAATTTAATTTTAGTAATCCTCACTTGTTTCACAGGTTGGTTTTTCAATCACAGATAAAGGAATATCTACTGAATCAATATGTTTTGTAACCTCTTCATTAATTATTTTATTTTTTGAAATATCAGAAGTACATTTTTTAATGTCTTCATCGCTGTCCATAGTTTCATCAGCTTGTATACGACTTATAATGTTTTCAACAATCTAACAAAATAATAACATTAAAAATTAATATCTCAATAAAATGTATGTAAAAACTAAAAGAATTATATAGAAAACAATGAATTATCATATTATTACAATAGAATATTTATAATTAATCTATAAGTACCTACAATTCCAAAAAAAAAATTTTATTTTAAAACATTTTAAATACTTAAATGCTGGTAATATAATTAGTTCTCAAATATTTATTATTTAGAATTAACAATTAACTTATGAAATTAATGAAAAAAATGTAAAACTTTAATTTCAGTTTTATAGTTTCACACCATCAAGGTATAAATAATAAATATATTTAACATTAAAACATAATTTGTAAACACAAATTAATAATTCAGTAATAAGTAATTTATTACTAATGCTATCAACAAATCTAAAACAACTTGAACAAACAATGGATATTTTATTATACTTTTATTAAAATTAAAATTAAAAAACTGTCTTATTAATACATATAGAATGATGAATTTAATTATTTAACCATAATTATAATATTAGTTAATACTTATTATAATTTAAATGCTGTAAATCGATTATTATTATTGAGGCTTTTTACAGATTATTACTTGCTAACATTTCTTCCACGACATTATAAAATATAAACTTTATTCAGAACCTAATCTATAAGGGTTACATGAAATTTAATGAGCTTTTAAGCTACTCAAAAAACACAAATACATAAGCACTTATACTCTGTTCTAAATCTAAAAATTATTCTTAGTATTAACCTCATTTAGAGCTATGAATGATTTTTCGCTATTTTCATCGTCATTAAAGGATTTGTTATCATTTTCTTGTTCACTATGTGAAAGTTCTTCAATTTTTACTGGAGTCATACTATTCACAGTATTTAAAAAATTGCCATCTTTATATTCGTTACAAGTAGAAGTATAACGTTTAATAATGTCAGTTTGAAGCTTTTTAAAACGTGTAGATATTTGATCCAATTCATCAAAAAGTGTAAAACACCTATAAAATAATTTACATATAAGATTAGGCAAATATAACCATTAAAAACCATAAGTATTTAATCGTGATAAGTAGGATTAATAATAAAAAACTGAATAATACTTGCCTTCGACACAATAGTGAGCTTCTCATTTGAGAAGGATTCAAAACCTTTTTAAGTATTTTTGACATGACATCTATTAACAACAATTCTCTTTGAGGCATAAAAGTACAATAAATATTGTATGATGAACGAGTAGTAACTTTTACATTGCATATAAAACATTTTGAACTTAGTTCTTCTCTATCTTCTAAAGTAGAAGCCATTTTACTTGAAGATATTTGTGCTAGTATACTTAAAAAGGCCTGAAATAAATTACAACATAAATAATTAATATATTTTTATATAACTTCTAGCATGATATTTTAATATATATAAAGCAGTTACTAAATTCACAGTTGTTATATTAAGACAATATTGTTGGTTTCAAGTTGATATCTAGTATTTACATAACATATCAAACACTACAACAAAGTTAAACCCTATATAAAATAAGCTGATATTTTGGCATATTATACTTGTCGCAAGCCATGACTCAAGGAGTTGTGTCCTATGTTAGGTTCACACAGGGACAGGGTACATCAGTAGTATAATCATCAAAACAAATGATCATTGGCAGAAATTTTAAGAATAACACCCCCTCCCCTCATCAAGACATGGGTAATTCGCAACGACATTAACAACCATAGACAAGAAATTGTAAGTTTACAAATGTAAAACAATTAGACCGTTATTGATGGTAGAGATGAACCAGTGCCAATAGGCAAGACCGTGGTTACGAGGCATTTGCGTCGATATTCATCATTGTAATCATTAAATCATTATTCGCATTGGGACGTGGGGTAGTCTTTAGATTGAGTCGCGTCTTTGACAATAACGAAATGATAATCAAAAGTAGTACTTATTTAATACCGTATCCTATCGTTGTTGTGCATTTCGACGACGACGATATCAACGCAGAATTTTTGAAAACGAAATGAATGCCATTCGTCATCAGTTTTCAGTGGTTCAACGGCGCTATATGGAAGAAATCTTCAACCATACCTATATTTAATCTATTGTTTGGCTAGCGGTGGGACAAAAAAATACCGAATAGCCAGTTAGCACGAAAATTGAAAAGCTCAACATCCGCCGCCACGCATTTTACGGGACCCTTGGCACGCGGAGTTCGCTATACGCACCGCCATTTTGTAAACCAATGTCGCACAATTCGACTAATTGAGTCACCGCCTTTTCAACGTCAAACGGCAGTCGAAGGGGTAATGCTGCTACTCACCGAAAGCGTTTTTTTCGACCGATGGCGTCAAAAACACCCTGTGTGTCTGCTTGGCCAACGATGGAAGCTATGACTTATGGTATTGTCAAACGAATTTCCGTCCGTACATTTGTAATTGTCGTCTTATACCGTTTCGTAACAGTCGTAACTACCTATATATTTTTTTTGTAGTTGATTATTTATTTTTTCCCCCTATCCTATCGATGTCTAGGACCGCACACACGGATAGTCAATAGTCATATGCAACCGTTTTTAACATCATGCCAGTCGTCGTCGCTTTATCGGTTATCACTTATCTGCTTATTATTTCTTATCTCTTTCATGCAAGAAAATTAAATTAACAATAATATTATTTTAAATTTAAATTTGCCATTTGGTAAACTATTATTTATTGATTTCTGACATTTCTGTACAGGAACCGGATTCTATTATTCAGTTGTTTAATCGTCACCAAACACAATTTGATTCATAATACTAGACTTAATCACAATACTTATCTGGAAGGTACTAAGGAATAGCTTGAACAATTGTCAATTATACTAAATGTTACATCAAACCGCATTTTATTACGTATACAAATTATTAACATATCTTCATAAATTATTATACTACAGCAAGACAATTAACTATTTGGTACATCATAATACACATTATAAAAGTAAAAGGAAAATTTTATAAACTATAAAGAAATATAAAATAAAATAAGAAAATAATTATTAATTTATTTTTAATTAAAAACTAATAGTTAATTTATAAAAATAAAATAGGTTATTTGTCTATTAGATATTTGTTTAAATTAAAATTCACTGTCCTGTAAAAAAAAATTAATAAAAGATTAAAAGATTTATTTTACAATGTGTTAAATGATTATAATTTCAAATTAGAAAAAAAGAATAGATTAGTAAAAAATAGTTAATTATTAATATATTTTTATACATCATATTTAATATACAATACACAGTATATTTCCTTTTAAAAATAAGATGAAATATTTAAGTTCGGTAATCTCAGATCAATATGAAGTTTTAAGGAGAAAATGGAAAATACAAAAATTAACATTTTTGATAATTTGAAATTGTAATTATTTGAATGTGCACATGCACAAATAACTTGATTTTTTTTAAATAGCAACAGGTGTTTTAATATCAAATTTGAATAGACAAAATTTTTTAAATCATTTTGGCCTTTGATCCATTGTTATAAAACCAGAAATGACAGAATAACAAAGATTTAATGTTTAATTTAAATGATTGAGTGAAAAAAATTGTAAAATTGTAGAATAACTTTTGAAGAATTCAATGATTTAAATTAAAACAATACCTTGTCATCCAGTTATTTTTTATTTTAAAGTCAAGAACCAAAATTTCTTAAAAAAATCCATCCATTTGGATTTTGAATTGAAAAAACAACAAATTTAAAAATCATCAAAAATATACAATAGAACCTCAATTATCTGAACTAAATGGGATCGCACCTAATTTAGATACACAAAAGTTTGGATATTGAAAACATAAAATAAAATTTTTTTTACAATATTATGTATTAATTATTAATTATTATTATTAATATTTTATGATAATTACATACATTACATTATCAGAAATACATTACATTATTAGAAATACATTAGACATTTTAGATACTTGATAATCATAATATATTTGAATATATGTATAACAACATGTGTGCAGTAGAGAGCCGAACTAAACTGATAAATTAAACTAGAAGACGTCATTTAGATAAGCCTGTTGCGTTTTGGTCACCTACCACGTACAATATGTACATTATAACTTATAAGTACTAGTAATAAATCAAAAGCAATAGTTATGATAAATTCGATAAACCGGCCAGATACGAGTTTTCATATTCGGATAATTTAGGTTCTACTGTATAGGTATTTCTGTACTCCCTGTAACCTCCCAGAACTACCATCTCCAATTAATATCTAAGGTCACTGAAGTGAAATAATTCATGTTACCTTTAATAGAAAACATACTATATATAATTTTATGATTGGTAGATACAATTTTTAGACTCTGGGCAAAGTGGAGAATGTTTAGGTTTTACAATGTTCTTTTATTTATTTGAAATTATATAAAATTTTATAAGTTATTCTTAAAATATTCTAAATTTTTATTAAAAAGTTTTTAAAATTCAAACTTTGATGAATTCATCAATATTTGCAGATTATTTTGAAATGTTACTTGAAAATGTAAAAAATTAATTTTACCAATTTAGTAATGCAAAAATAAAATTTGAAATTCTTTATAAACATTTTTAACTGAAACTCAATAAAAATAAAAAAGAATTGTGCAAAGCTACAACAACAAATTATCCATTAAGGATTTTTGTTATTTTGTGTTTGTTCATTATAGTTATAAAAACATAAATTGAATTATCATATTATACAAGCTATAGTATTTTAATATGTAAATAAATTGAAAATTATTTTTTTGATGTTAGAAATTAAAAAAAAATGCTATTACTTTGTCTACAAATTGTATGCTTATTCAACAATTTATTTATAACTATATTTTTTATTTTATTAATAATATTTTAGATTTAAATCAAACCAAATGATTATAAATTTATAACTATTGATAAATAATATATGAATTATGTTATTTTATTTTAAAACATTATGGTATTATTAATAGTAAAAAAATAAATAAAATTATTTACTTACCGTGCAATATTATTAACACAGTCAAAACTAACACTACATCGGTATTTAGGGGTATCCAATTTACCATCGCTTAAACGTATTAAAAGTCCCAAATCAGATAACGTATTAACCTATTCAATAAAAAGAATCTTGTTAAATATTAAAAATAATTAAAATAAATAATTTTTCTTTATAAAATTACTTGTGCTAAAAGATTGGCAGTCATATTTGTATTTTCTTCAATAATAGCATAAAATATTGCTAATAAACGATCTAACGAGAACATTTTAGGTCCAACAAGTTGAAAAGTAGAATTTTCTGTTTTATTTACTAATCGATTAGTTTTCTTTTTTTTGTTTGATGCTTTAACAAACAATTGCTTATCATATTTTGGTAAATTAAATGATGCAATATATGCAGCAATTAAAAAATATTTGGCAAAATATGGTAAATCCAATGCAAGCTTTTCAAATTTTGTTTTCTCATCAGACAAACTATTGACATTTTCTAAACTGAAATTAAAATTATTATTAATAGAATTTAAATTATTTTATTTACCAAATGGATATTTATTAAATAATTACAACAAATTATGTTTAAAATAAGAAAGTATGTTATTTACTAAAAGTTATAATACTCAAAACACATTATAAATTTGACAATATTACAGAACAATTATTAACAGGCTAGTTTTTAAACTTTTTATTAATAAAAAAATATGGGGTCAAAAACTTAAAATTTTATCTTGTAAAATTTAATATAATATATTAATCACTGCAAATTCAAAAAAAAAAAAAAAATTAATCTTATCATTTAAAATATTGAATTGGCATTAGTGTATTAATTTATTTTCAAAAATATATTATATTTTCCTTGTTCATATTTTCTTTTAAAACTTCTTTATAATAACACATATTATGGGATTAACATATATTTAAGTAATTTTTAAAGTAAAGATGAAACATTTATAAAATAGGTACCTTGTTCCTAGATAAACATTATTTAACAATAATTGAATACTAGGACTTATTTTTCTGTATAGTAAATGCTGATTAATTTCTGTACATGATCCATCTTCTATTGGTTCAACATATTTAATAAATAGGAGTTTTGCCTAAAAATTAAGAAATGAAATTACTAGAAATTGTTTTATTTTACTAAGTATATAATTATTTATTTAATGGCTTATACAAATACCAAATGTCTTAATTCCACTAAATCTCGACAGCTTCCATAAAACGATCCCATGAAAACAGTTAGAAAATTTTGGTAAATAGATAAACTCCAATCGTTTGGTATATCTTTTGATAAAATAAAAGACAACTCTTCTACACAAAATAATATACTCAAGACTTAACAAATTATCAAAATTAATAATTTCTATTATAAAATAAAAAATTACCACTATTATACTGTTCAAACACAATTGGTATAAAATTAATATCCTCGTCAAACCTAGTAGGAAGTACTTGGCTTATAAGTATAACACAGAGTTGATAACTTTTTAACAGCTCTTGTAATTTTGAAAATAAAACTATTTGTTCATGTTCCAACATCTCACAATTATCCAACAATATAATCACTCGTTCATGTTGAATTTTTGATTGTTTTAATATGTTTAAAAATTGCATAAAATTATCACAGCGATCAGGTAAGTCGCTTTGCTTAATTTCTATAAATTAAAAATAAAATATGCATTTAAAATTTGGTTATCTTAACATCCATTGTATATTATTTACTTACGTAATAAATCTTTTAAAATTGGCTCAAATAAAAATTGATTAGTGTAACAGCATATAGAATTCACTATAGATGATTTGACTGACTTTCTTAGTAAATACAACAAACGAGTCGTTATACTTGTTTTACCAGTAGATGGTAGACCATGAATGAAAACACATGGAGGTAAAACTCCATCTTCCTGTAGAATAAAAAATACTATAACGTATATAAAAATAAAACTTTACATGTACAGCACAAAGGCACTATTTGAAATTAACTTGAGTTCAAGAAACATTTTTATTCTGACTTTAGAGGAGAAAAAATAGTTTTGAGTTGCTTCTGTACTATATTTTAAAATGTATATTAAAAAAGAAATAAAAGGATTACTTACAGTTAAAAAAAGGTTAGATAACGTATTTATTTGAATTTCTCTAAATGGAAATTCAGAGTTTAATGTATCTCTTATTGAAGAATTTTTCGATTTCGAAAACATAGTAAACTATACAACTGAATTGACAATGAATAAATAAATAAAGAAAAAACCGTAATAAAGCAATGATTTTTTAGATTAACAAGTATTTACTGAGTATGTATGTTATTAATAATATTATTATGATTTATGAGTATTTAATCTTTATGAGACGAAAATGTATTAGAATTATTTGAAATTTTTAACCTCGAATACAAAAATATAATTTGTTATCATTAATTGTTTGATTAAAAATGGAGGGTAAATGTATTAACAGTTTTAAATAATAATATTATCTTTATCTGTGGAGGGAGTGAGAGAGTTAATTTAATAATTGTAGAAAATAGATATATGGTGATTTTGAAACAATTGAAACTAACTTCACACATTACACTTTACAGTTTACAGACTGGTGACTACAGTTAACTAACTATAACTTGTTGTATAACTTTGACATTCATGATTATTAATGTAACAAATCACTAACAATCATAAAATATTCTGTTGAATAATGTCCATGGTACAATTTTATTATTTAGTATTTATACTTAACAATTTTATTTAAGATACAAGATTCTAGAATATAATAAAATAACAATTCTGAAGAATTATTAATAAATTGTAAATAGTGATTTAGATCTAGCAATGAATAACAATCAGTATTTGGTAGATCATGTTAAAACTGCTATGATTGATTCATTTTTAATTTTTTTATTGAAGTATATCAATGATTACATTCAAACATCCAAACCATATCTCCATGACTGTGTCCCTTATACGGTATGGTAGTTTAATATATTAAGTAAAACCTCTCATAATGAACACATCTGAATAGCAGATATTTTTTTTGAGAATGGAGATATTTTTACTACTTTTCAATAGGAAAACCTTTAAATAGTGGATATTTGTTATAATCTTAATTTAAAATAATGTCAAAACTATTACAGAAAAATATGCTTATAACAGTAAGTATTACAACAACAAACTCGTTCAAAAACCGATTTTTCTCACCAAATTTAATACCATTTATGTTTCTATACATTCATTTTTTTTTATATTTATGTAAATATTCATCGTTAAAAATTTTAAAGTATAAATAATAAAATAATTTATTTGAACCTATTATATATTTTTTCCTTCAACAAATTTATATTTTCTGAGTTTTAAAAATATTAGTGACCGATTATCCACTATTCAGGAGTTTCACTGTACTTTATTGTAGTGTGTGTAATTTCCTTCAAAACGCTGCTTTCTTTATTTATTATTTATATCTGTAATAGAAAAGACTTCAGTATTTAACTATCTAAGTCTTTAGTTTTTAAACTTAAAATAACCACCAAACCATGAATAAATAAACATCATTAAAGGTGTGTAATTAAAAATTATACTAAAAGTTATTAACACTAATTTTTAACACAGGTGATTACTAAATTAATTTTCCAGTTAAGTAACATTTCAATTATCTATATTCTTAAAAAAAATTAAATAAAATGGGTATTGATATAAAAAACAGTTGCAAAATAATATTGCTTGGTAGATTTTTTGTGTTAGAGGCCTGCAACTTTTAACTTGATGAAAACAAAATTTTCTATATTTTATAAAAATTATGAGTGACTTTTACCTACGTTTTTTTTTTTTAGATTTTAACTGTAACTAATAATAACATTTAAGAAATGTACAGTCACTAGGTAATTTATCAACTTTTGACACTAGTCTAGACTACAATGTTAAGTTTAATAGTAACAGACAAAAAAAATTTATAATATGCATGTATAAAATATGTCTGGTTCATGGTGACTTTTTAGAATACGAATGTTAGATGATTTATATTAATTTGTAAACAGAATAAATGGTTCTTAATTACACAAAATTACAATTAGATACAAATTTAATTAAAATTATTTATTATTGATTATTTATTTTGAATAGAAATAGTTTAGAAAACATTTACAATATAAACTTCTATCACATTCAATTTTTTTAACTCATATAATATTATAATTGAGCAATATAACAAATTTAAACTGTGTAATGTAAAATATAAAAGAGTATTAATTTTACAAAATTAATGATGGAACAAACGTAAGTTAGTATGAGCCAATACAATGTTTTGTTCATTGCAGTAATTGATAACTTCTTGGTCATTTGTTGAACCAGATGGGCAAGCTACATATTCAACTCCACTCTAAATACAATTTAAAAATAAAAACATTGATATTATAATTTAACAAGAACTTATATAATTATTTATTTAACATACCTGAACAGCTCTTTCAATGTTATCACTGAATGGGAAAAATGCATCTGATGACAATGCAACTCCCTTCAATTTAGCAGCCCACGCTTTTCTTTGTTCGGAGGTTAGCTCGACAGGAACTTCATCAAACAAACTTTCCCATCTAGTACGTGAAAGGCCATTTCCAATAGTTTTACCAATGTAATCATCAATGGCATTTGCTATTTGAGCTCTTTTAACTGATTTTTTAAATTTCATATTTAGAACATATGGATGTTGCCTCAACCACCTAAAAATTAATCAAAAATATTATTCAATTTAAATACATTAAAATGAAATTTAAATTACCAATTATCAGCTTTATCACCAGCTAGTCTAGTGCAATGTATTCTTGATTGTTGTCCAGCTCCAATTCCTATAGCTTGACCATTAAAAGCGTAACACACTGAATTACTTTGAGTATATTTCAATGTTACAGTAGCAAGAATCAAATCACGTTTAGCTGCTTCAGTCATCTAGACAAAAATAAATATACAATTTATTGTTAAACAAACACTTAATAATACATTTAATTAAATTAACAATAAACATACATCTTGTCTTTTAGTTACAATATTGGTAAAAAGATTTTCATCAATTTTTCCATCATTACGTCTCTGTTCTAAGGTCATTCCAAATAAAACTTTACGTTCTACAGGCTTAGGTGTATAATTTGAATCAATTTGCAATACACAGTAATTTCCATTTTTTTTTTTTCTAAGCAAATTTAAAGCTTCATCACTATACCCAGGTGCAATTACACCATCAGAAACCTAAAACAAAAAAAAAAAAAAAAACATTAAAATTCAATCATAAATATAACCGTACAATTTTACACAGTAACTTACTTCTCTGGAAATAATTTTAGCAGTAACTAAATCACAAGAATGTGATAAAGCAATAAAATCTCCATATGAAGACATGCGATCAGCTCCTCTAGCTCGAGCATAAGCAGATCCAAGTGGAGTCATAATTTCAAGTAAATCACTCACCATACATAATGAAGCCTAAGAAATTTTTTTTTTTAAATTAATTATAAATAAAATTAATTAAAGTCAAATAATTATTTTACTTCAACTTCATTTAATGGTATGCCTAGAGCAGCTCCAGCTGGACTAACATGTTTAAAAGATGTGGCAGCTGGAAGACCAGTTACTTCTTTAAGTTCTTTAACCAGCTGCCAGCTATTAAAAGCATCACATAAATTGATGTATCCTGGTGAACCATTAATTACTAAAAATTGAACAATAATATATCAATTATATTTTTATATGGTGAAAGTGTATAATATCAAATAATATTATATCATTACAAATTTAAAATATGTTTAAAATATCCAATAAGTAATTAGGATACTGATTTTGAACATATACTTTTTATAATTATAATTTTAATTTTATTTATTAATTTTTATACGTTCATGTTAAGTATTTTATACCTAATTTAAAATAAATAAAAATTACATACTTCAAATTTTTCTTTAAGTAAATATATGTACAAATAATAAATTATACTGAGAGGTGTTGTAAATAAATAAATTGCTCAAATCAGTGACATATATAGGTTTTCATTTCGAAGAGGGCTAATCATATATTTGTCTTTTTTTTGGGAGGGGGAAAAGGAGGCACATTATTTAGACAAAAATTGCTTGAATACAATGAGACTTTTTGATTGTCTTTACACCATCAACGAAATTTTTTTAATAAATTGTATTAAAAAAAATACATATATAAAAATTTTACATGACAATAAATAATTTTTTTTTAGTCTCTCAAAACTACTGCGCCATTTTTGTCTGTGATTTATAAAATGTATAATATTATGCTCCAGTCTAAATTGTTTTTAATTTGGGAGGGGACTGAAGAGGCTCCCTCCATAAATATGCCATTGATTAGATCTATTTTACAGATTCAAATAAAATACATTTCAATAAATTTTAATACATAACTATTATAAATATTAAAAATACACCAACTAAATATAACCAAATTTAAATTAATACTTATTTCACATGAGCTATATTACCTTTTAATGGTAATTTTAAATCTGTAGTGAAAAGTTGTGCAGGACATTGGTGAGGATTCATGCCATACCTTAAATTCATTTGACTCTCGCCACCTGCAAATTTCTTACGAAAATAATCTGATATACAATCATCATAAGCTGCTGTATGCGTAAATGCCTTTAATGCTAATTTTTTCCGAGTTTCAAGAAGTGTATCTTTGTTCAATAATATTTCTTTAGATATTTCCAAATAGTCTATAGGATCACAAAGTACTGTGACACGTTCATGATTTTTGGCAGCAGCTCTTAACAGTGTTACACCACCAATATCAATATTTTCAACAGCATCTTCAACATTAGTATCAGATTTGACTACAACCTTTTCAAATGGATAAAGGTTACATACCACTACTTTTATTAGGCTGTAATTGTTCTTTTGTAAATCATCTTGGTCAGCAGGTATTAAACGAGCTAATATACCTAAAATAGAAATGACATTCATGATTGAAGTATTTGTTAAATGACACATAAAATTTATAAATTTTTGAGTACTATAATTAAAAGTTGTAAACATAAAAGGTACCTCCATGAATTGCTGGGTGTAAAGTTTTCACTCGACCTCCAAGTATTTCTGGAGCGCCAGTGAATTCAGAAACACAAGTAACTGGTAATTTTGCGTCATTCTTTATAAAAGAAGCAGTTCCTCCACTTGCCAACAGCTTAAATCCAGCTTCTACTAAACTTTTTGCAAGATCTAATAATCCAGTTTTATCCGATACACTAATAAGAGCTAAAAAACATAATGTTAAATAAATAATTTTGTATTAAG